CTTATGAAATAGGCATTTTAGCTGATCTGCAGGTTGGCGAGGCACTTGCATCCCTTGATGGTGCTACACTGTCATGGGATGCAACCACCATTGATGGTAGTCATGTAAATGAAATCCATATTTCTGCTGCAGGTAAAACTCTTGCTGTTGATGTAAAACCTTTACCTGGTGGTAAAGCTGTAGATTACATAGAACATATTAGTGTTAAGTTAAAAGATATTGTAAACATATATTGTAAATACATAAATCATCCAAATTTAGAGCAGCTGTACAAAACTCTTATGTCCACCATTAAATCCACTGTGACAGATAGGGCAGCTGTGAATCATAGTGTTGTAAACCAGCTGAATACTTTGTTACAGACACACCTGCTGGAATTGAATTGCAATGTTCATCCGCTAGATAGTTTTGCTGCTGGTGCCAGAAGGGCATTGGAAAATGATACTGAGATAGGCAACAAGACATTGCACTGTATTTTGAGTATTTCCAAGCTCAGATACAAGCAATCCAGTGGAGACCCTAGCGGGTTCAAGACCTATTTTAGAGAAAAAAATATTCCAGTGGGAGTTTTCCTTCGGTACGTCGGTAACCGGTTGCACATTTTATTCCATTCAGCTGGAATTATAATTTTATATCTAAAAGAGCTGAAGAAATTTGTTGAGGCACCAACCTTAAAAAAAGCATTAAGGAAGAGCTGGATGACCCTAGGGTTGTTGCTCAATTAATTGCACTCGGGTTAATCGGGAAAACAGTCACAGGGCCATGGGTGACTAAATTCTATGCAAATTCAATGAATTTAGACATGGTCCCTGTGATACAAAGCTCTAAAAATGTTTTGGACAGGTTTGCTGCTGAGCCAGAAGAGTTGTTATGTCCCACTATGAATGTTTTTAATGAACCCATTGATGCAGCTTCAGACATGGTGCTGACAGCAATCATCAACAATATTGAATCCCACAGGGATAAAGTAAAGCAAACTTTGAAGCAAATATTACATGAAATTGTTAAGGTCTTTGACCGCCAGTTTGTTCGATATACCAGTGGCGACCTTTCTAGCCCTACAGTTGAGCAGTTGACACAAGCTTCAACTGCTCCTTCACACAACATGGCAGCTGAGAGAATATTAGGAATGACTGACTATTTATGGCGTCGTGCCCCTAATGCGACAGCTGGTTTTGTAGACGGAAAGGTGAGAGGACGGACAAATGATACTGTAGGATGGCTTCTGCAACAGGACAAAATGACCCAACATAGATTAGTTTATTTTGCAATGAAAGAGGGGTACAGAGCAAGGGAACTTGCAGCACAAAGGAAGAAGATGATGGAAGCAGTGATGATGCGTCGAATGCTAGAAGCTGGTCAGAAACATGAACAATCCAACCGTAAGGCTCTAGAAAAAGAGGTTGCTATGGCTTTGAGTGCTAAAGATCTGAATGCTAGTGTGTTTTCATCTGCGTCATCTGAAGTTATGGGCCTCATTGCAATGTATATTACTTCAGAAAATCCTATGTCTGAACTGACTGAAACCTATACAGGACATCTACTTAAGCATTTATGGACAGAGGAAGGAGTTGATAAAATGTATTCTGGCAGAGTGGTAAATTTTAAGCAACAGAAGACTAAGACAATGAAATGTACAATTACTTACTGGGGACCTGATGAATTGGAAACTGACAGTGTTGACTATGACATGACAATGACATCTCTAGTCACTGATTTACTGACAGGTGACCTTGTGTTTAGGAGCTAGGATGACAGTTGTAGTCCATGTTGTACAAAGCTTAACTTGGTATAAGTCTCACCTGTTATTGTATTGATGTAAGCTATGTCTACCTTAAAAGTTTATTGTTTTGATGTATATATTAACTTTGCTTTTTGTTTAATTGTGTAAATTTAATTATTTATTGAGAATCATTTAATATAAAACATTTATCCTGATAAGATAATAGTCAGAGATGAGTTGTTTTTTTTACTTGCAATGTTATTAATTTGGTGTAGGCTTCCTGAAATGTTATTTAAGTTATTCTACTTGTTGTGTTGCTAATAATAATAGTTTTTAAAGACAACCATTCAGTAAATAAAACTACTGGCTTGCCAGTGTGCCTAAGATAAATTGTTCGGTTTAATTTATTAAAAAAAAATTAGTGCCTACTACCTTTTTATTCAATTAGTTCTGCTACTGTCAAGTCTATTAATAATTAAATTAATAAATGTAATTCAAACATGCTGAAGTAAGATCATGCAGAGTTTTAACATTGTACCTATAAAAACAACTGAGCAGTGCAACTTAGAAATTAGGGCCCATAATAGTCAAAATGTATCCCTTAAAGGAATGCTAATTATTCTGCTCCCAGTGAATGAATTAATGATTTCAATTAATATATGTAATTCAAGCATGCTGAAGTAAGATCCTGCAAAGTTTAAACATTGTAGTTTTAAAAACAACTGAGCAGTGCAACTTAGAAATTAGGGCCCATAATAGCCGTAATGTATCCCTTAAAGGAATGCTAATTATTCTGCTCCCAGTGAATGACTTAATGATTTCAATTAATATATGTAATTCAAGCATGCTGAAGTAAGATCCTGCAAAGTTTTAACATTGTATCTTTAAAAATAACTGAGCAGTGCTATTTCAAAGTTAGGGGACAGTGATTTTCATGACTTACAAAGAAATATAGTGGACATTCACCCATTACGTAAAAAATTCATTAAAAAAAAACTACTGAAGCTAGAAAGAAAATTTTTTCAGTGTTATTCTAGTTACATCAAGCACAATATTTTTGCAATGCTCATACATTTAATTAGCCAATTTTAATTTTTTTAATGGAATGCCTACTAGAGAGAGTTAGATCTAGATAGATCTACTACCAGATCTACTGATCTAGACATCTAGATCTTGATGAAGAGTCTAGCCTCTGTCGATTTTACGCACGCCTAAAGTGCCCTAAAGGCTAAAGATAAGTTAAAACGATGGATTACTAGATCTAGATCTAATACTTATTAGATCTAGATCTACTTACAATTAAAAAATAAATGCGCTTCACACTCACTGACTCAGTTTCACTCACAGGGCGATTGTACGATCTAGACTAGACTCTAGATAAAATGGGTGTGGGGAAATTGCGAGATGCGAAAAGCGAAATGGCGAGGCGGGAAAATGCGAGAAGGTAATGCGAGACATACCTGCGGAATTAAGGGTAAACAGCGAGACACTTTTTGCGAAAAAAGTTTTTTCCTTTTTTTTTCCATCTTTATTTATTTAAATTATTTTTTTTTGTTTTAAAATAAACAAGCATTTAGCCATACCCTTTAACACGAGTGTTGTATGTTGTTATTTTTTATCTAGATACTAAGAAGATAGATCTATATCTAGATCTATCTATTTAAAAATCCTAACATCGTTGCTGTGCTACTGTCATCGCCCGCTCTTGTTAGCGAGAGGAAAATCCCGTCTCAGTCGGCATTAATTTAAAAATCTAGCCCGCTCATGTTTATACAAACGTGAGCTGTGTCATTGTGAATTGGTATAGTCTTGTCAGCAGGAGAGATATTTTGCAACATCTATTTATGGATTTTTGTACTTGCAAAAAGTGTAAAAGTATAAACAATTCTAAAAAGTGCAATTTATTTTTTATTAAGTAATTTTAATTACAAACAAAATTTACAAACAAAATCTTCTGAAACAGTCCTCAAACACACCTCGTGACACCATCTTTCACACATAGTACACCCAACCCAGTTCATTAGACTCCCATTTATACATTTTTCTTGTGCTACTTCTTCCAATCCACATTCACAGCATTTCACATTCTCATCACAGTTGACCTCCTCGTTCATCCCACACACAACACTGACACCCATGTTCTCATCATCATCATCCGCACGCTCAACATCTGTTTTCCGTTTTTTATAATTTCCCAAAATCTTGTCTAATTTCGGTAAAAATAGAGTATTTTAATCAATTCCTATTACAATGTATTAAAACAGTTTTCTAAAACGCGAAAAAACGTCTAAAATTCTTTTTCTAACATTGCTTTTTTATAGTGTGACTTCACATCTACCCCCCCCCCCTCCTCTCCCTCATCACACATCGTCATAAAATTACAGCCCCCCCCCCCCTACGAGTGTGACGTCATTTATGGAAGACCCCAAATAACACCACCACCAAAACCAAAAAATTCAGATAAGTTCAACTTGGTTTTAAAAATATTTGAAGTAGGCCCATAGCTTACTATATAGCACGAGCAACTGATAATATCGGTGACGTCACTTTATTTTGTTGTATCCAAATGATGTAGGCATTTCCTTGTGCTTAGATTTATATGGTAAAATAAGCTAGAAAAAATCGTAGGCGGCAGCTATAACACAAAATTTCTATGCAACAATAGAAAATATGTTTGCGGCGGCAGCGGATCCAGGCACGGCGATCTTCAAAGACGGTAAATCAGGCGGCCTCGGCGTTCCACACAAAAGACAGAAGTTGATCTATCGTCGGCGGTATTTCCGTCGGTTTCGAACAAGGTGGTATTCTAAGTCGACACAAAAGATGGGGGGAGTTGACAAATCATCAGTATGCCTAGCGACGGAAAAATCGGAAGTTTTAACAATGTAAACGAAACGTCTTTGAAGTCTTGACCAAATACCACTGAAAATCGGGTGCGGTAAATTTTTCGCAGAAATCTTTGCATTTCAACACCACCCAGCGTAAGTATCGGCTTGTGGTAAAATGCGAGACAAAAAAGTCACGTGACCGACCGTTTTCGCGCCCTTCTCGCATTTTCCCGCCTCGCCATTTCGCTTTTCGCGTCTCGCAATTTCCCCACACCCAGATAAAATAGATAGATCTAGATCTAGATCTAGATCTAGATTTAGATCTAGATCTAATTCTAGAATTTTAAATTCACTGATGAGACTGATAAGCTCAGAATCTGATAAAGCTACAGGAAAAAAACTCACAAATCTGATTAAGATTTATAATTATGACTCAACAATGAACAAACCATTTTAACACGTGCTAAAGCATTCATTCAGATTTTTTAAAAATTTAGGCCGTCTTTAAAAACAACTTTTACATTCAACTGCTGCTTTTTTTTTTTTTTTAAATCTGTTTTATCAAATTCTACAGTAGGCCTACTAGGCCTATTTGAAAATAAATAAGTTTTAAACTGCGTGCTTTTAGGCTACAACCAAACATTATACAAATAAATAAGCTTTGTATTTTGTATGGCTAAGGACAAGGCTAGTCGGCGAACGGAAAAAGTCACAAAAAAAAAAAAAAACCACAGAAAAAAGGCAGTTTTTGCTAGGAGAAAAAGTCACAAAAAAAAGTCACAAATGAAAATTTTAATCGGAAAAAAATTCACAGAAATAAAGTCACAAAACAAGTCATAATCGTAATTGACACTAATTGAATAATATGGGTAATCTATCGTTGGTAAAATCTTAGTTTAGCGTCGTAAATTCCAACGTAGCTAGTAATGTGCGATGAAGGTAACTAATGAATATTTCTTTCATGTGGCCATATTTATGTCATATTTTACATAATATAACAGATAATTGAATAACAAATCACAATCCAAGACCAAACGAGTCATAAATATCCTGGAATAAACTTTAAACTACCCCGTTCGAGACAACAATGAGTAAATACAAGCAGCGGCCACGTTTCAAAAACCATAAATTGTCTATTCGCATGTCTTTTGTGTTGATTTTGTGGTTTAATATGATTGTTTTGTATTGATTTAATATATGCCTGGGGGTCGTCCATAAATGACGTCACACTCGTAGGGCGGAGGGGGGTCCGTAATTTTGTGACGTTGTGTGATGAGGGGGGGTTGTAGGCTGAGGTGTGACGCAGAGGCGTAGCGATGGGGGGAGGGACATATGTCCCCGGGCGCCGACCTTAGGGGGCACCCAAAATGGGTTGGAAAAAGTAATCGAAAGTTTGAGGGGGGGGGGGGTGCAAATCGAAAGTTTGAAGGGGGGTGCAAATCAAAAGGTTGAGGGGGGTGCAAATCGAAAGTTTGTCCCCGGCGCCGAGAAGGTTCGCTACGTCTCTGAATCTTGATGCATTAAAAGTGATATTCGGAAATTAAGAGCCAGACAGTCAACATGATATTTCAATTTAAGTCCAAGAAAATAAATTTCCTCAAACGATGGAACATTACTAAATTTTCATGATACCGACACGTCATAATTTGCAGAGCCGCCTGAATTGACGTCACAAATCTCCACTCACTCCCGTAGCAAATCATATGTGACATCATTTATGGACAACCCCATATCACTCACTTGGGTACTTGATATTGACAATTTGACAACAAAGGATAACCAAAATGTGTTTGACAGGTGGAGACTTGCGATCGACCATAATGACAACACGCACTTAAGGGGTGGACTGGCTCATTGTTTTAGATGATGTTTTACGAGGGAAGCTGGTGGAAAATACATTTTGTCTCTCTGTATATATAAATTATGACAAACATTTAATGTTGTCAAAATTATGGTTAGAGATCTTAGATAAGGCAGAGTGAAGCGTAATTTTTTACATTATGACTTGTTGTGACATTGACAACAAAAATATGACGGAGGTTGGGGTTTAATTAAGGTAAAGAGAAGTAAAAAAAATGTCATAAGTTACGATAGAATAACTAATTGATGAAAAGAAAAACCTGAAATGAAAATAGTGAACATTCAAACAATAAGAAAAAACTCAAACTATATAGTAATAGTAAGATCAAATAAACATTAGTAAAAAAAAAAACGTGATTTAATACATGGATACAAGTTGCATCTCACAATGCTTCTAGAATTAATAAAGTTGTTTGTTAGGAAATTCAGTTTTTAAAGGGCAGAATTAAAAAAAAAATTGCTTTGTAATACGGAGTATACAACAAGACAACTATACAACAAGACAATTATATTTAAATACATTTTCATACGAATAGAAATGAAAGGGAAGCTACTCTAAATAACATTTTCTTAAGATGACTGCTGTTTTTAATAGCAAATTTACTATCTCGAACAGGGTTGATACAAATTAATTTTAGGATATTTAAATTGATTTAGTCATAAATGGTGATCTATTATTCAATTATCTATAATATTTTATCAAAATATACGAAAATATACTCATATTTAATGACATATTCATTAATTCACTCTCTCCCACATTACTAGTTTTGGCCGAATTTACGACGCTAAACTAAGATTTTACCCTATCGTTTTGGGTACGTAAAATCGCCCGCGACTAGTAATGTGAAAAACAGGTGACTCCTTACATTTTAATAATTATTTCACATTTTGAGGAGGATTTATGTTTTGAAAAATACAAAAATGTTTCCTTGTTTCATTTATGTACCTGTTTTTAAACAAGTGAATTAAAACTTTTCAGTAATAAATGAACACCAGCGATGTTTCCAACAGATGCAACCATGCTCATTTACTATAGCAGCTATCTTGTTAAAGTTTTATTTTTATAGACTGATAGCGCGAGATTCAGGCGAAAGTCACTCTATTTTACAAATGGCTGCTGTTTATATAGCAAATCTTGCTTGCAGAAACTGCTGTTTAAAGTTAATTTCTGGCCTATATTGATATATTTAGCCATTGATTTAGGTTTATTATTCATTTATCTATAATATTTGACACAAACATATCACAATATACTTCTTTTACAGCCTTGACAATGAGGTAACGTTTTCGTACATTAATAGCCGCAGGCGATTTTACGTACCCAAAACGATAGATTACCTGAATATGTTTTGGCCGCATTTTGCGCGGTTCGCAAAATCTTTACCCTAGGTGGCTCGAGATGCATAGAATAGTATAGATTCAATAGATACTAGATAGTCACTTCGAAAAAATTGTAATAAATAAATTAAATATTCTGATTTTTATTGTTGAGAATTGTAAAATTTTGGGTGTTTATTGATGTGGGTTTTTTCTTATAGCAAAATAAAATTACCCCCCCCCCCCCCGAAAATTTCAAGTGTCGATACACAAACAGTGTCAAACTTGTTGTTCGCTGGGTACAACAGCCTCGCATTGACCTGAGGTGACGGGAGATAGTTGGATGCCAATGGACACCAGCGAGTTGACGAGATTCCTTCCGTAATGTTGTTGACATGGAATAAAAATGTGCTGTTTTAGATCTAGGACCATAAAAATAATAAATGATAAAATTTTATTAAAAACTTAAGCCTAAAATTAATTCAGAAATTTAATATTTTTAGAATCAATGCAATACAAGTTGCAGATCCAGAGAACTTGAAAATAATTTGTTGAGTTTAAGGCTACATTTCTATTTATTTTCATCAAGCCTAAGTTATAACCCGATGTTTCACTTTCGTAAGACAAACATTGATTGGCTGTAAAGGAACTCCGTGATCGATTTCTGACAGCCCCACTTCATAGTTATTTTGTTTACAAAACTTTGCAGATCAAGTTTTTAAATAACTATGCAAATTTAAACACCATGACCTATTTTTTCTATTTTTAGCTTACAATGTGTACAATAGAATTTATGGCGGCCATTGTTTATGTCGCCATAACACGTGAAAACCAAATTGTTTTTGCTTTTTTTTTTAATTTTTATTTAGTTACCGAAAATATTAAAAACATAAAATACATCCAATCTTTAGTAAAGTCCGAAAAAAACCAGACAGACAGGATTTTATAACCATATTAATTGTAATTACGCTGTGCAAGATTTTTAAATGAATTTATACACCTCTCAAATACCTTTGAGACTTTTCTCGCTGGTGTCCATTAACCCCCGACCCGACATGGGATGTAAATTTGGGAAACACTTAAAGAGATACCCTATTGTATGCGGACCGATGAAGACGTCCTTTTAGTGAGCAGATGGTATGCCTGTATTAGACAGTTACACATAGCCATATATTTGAATGCACAGTTATCCTTCACCTCCCCGCACCAACTGCCACCCACCCCAAAGCTCCCCCCCACCCCCACTGAGCATCCGTGATTACATTGAATAATAATTTCTTTTGTATATCCATAAACATGAGAGTTTGCTTTTACAATTCGTAACCAGTGTTTATTTACGATTCGAGTCCAAAAGCTATCAATCTTTTTCTATTTCTTTCTTTTTAACTTTAATTACTTTAGTTTTGTTGATATTATAATTTGTCTAAAATTCTGGGCTTACTAACACTCTCTTTTTTTAGATACACCTAAAACACATGACGTTTTTTAACAATTAGTCATCAAGAAACAATTTAAACAATTTTATTTTCCTAATTATTTGGCACGCGATTGAATTTTCTTAAGTGATTTGGTATGGATTACATAACTGTCAAATGTGATGTAATATCTTAGCGAGAAAAATAAAACTAAGAACATTGGGTTAAAATGTTGGAGAGGTAAACATCTGTTATTAAAGTGAGTAGTTTGACATTAGCTTATAGACTTCAAAACATGTATGTGTTATTATGTGTGTATGCATATTATATATAAGCATATCAAAGGTACAGACATTCATGAATAGATGCCTTAGAGAGATATTGAAACTGAGATGGCAGGACAAAGTGCCGAACATAGACAAATAGTGCAGCTGAAGTAGAGTTCATTGACCTCTATGTATAAGGGAATGTATAGTCAGCAGTAGGCCCTTTGTTTCCCTATCATGTGTCAGGTACCCATCAGAGTAGGGTCATCCAGAGAGGTCCTACACACTTGAGCCCGGGATCTGATCTCAGGACTTTTGGTTTAACATCCATAAGCAACCAATACATACAGAGATAGGTATTGATAAATACATACAGAGATAGGTATTGATAAATACATACAGAGATAGGTATTGATAAATACATACAGAGATAGGTATTGGTAAATACATACAGAGATAGGTATTGATAAATACATACAGAGATAGGTATTGATAAATACATACAGAGATTGGTATTGGTAAATACCTACATAGATAAGTATTGATAAATACCTACAGAGATAGGTATTGGTAAATACATACATAGATAGGTATTGGTAAATACCTAAATAGATAGGTATTGGTAAATACCTACAGAGGTAGGTATTGGTAAATACATACATAGATAGGTATTGGTAAATACCTACAGAGATAGGTATTGGTAAATACCTACATAGATAGGTATTGATAAATACATACAGAGATAGGTATTGGTAAATACCTACAGAGATAGGTATTGGTAAATACCTACATAGATAGGTATTGATAAATACATACAGAGATAGATATTGGTAAATACCTAAAGAGATAGGTATTGGTATAATATGTATACCGCAGTGGGATAATTACGCAGGTTGGCAATTGAGAGAAGATAATTAAGGGGGACTAATGACTGGGTGATGACTTGCAGTGGGTAACTATTCCGTGATTTTTTTTTTTGGGTAAATTAATTGTTTCATTTAAGGTTGTTTTTCACAAGGAGAGGGAATGTAAGTAACATTGTTGTTTTCTCTATAATGATATGTCACTTTATGATATTTATGTAATGGCAGATGATGCATAAGTTAAATTTTTAAATCTGGCAAAAGTCTACTTGTTCCTGCTTAGGACATTGCTTTATGTAATGCTGTCTATTTATTACATTTTAAAAACACATTCATGTTTCAGTAATAATTTAAATTTAGACATTGCTTTACTTTATGAGCAAAGCCTATCCGATAACAGCTAGTAAACACACACACATTGATATATATATATATATATATATATATATATATATATATATATATATATATATATATATATATATATATATATATATATATATATATATATATATATATATATATATACACATATATTTAATGGTCAAAGCCTGAAATCACCATGCTAGACAATTCAAAATTTAAAGAAAATATTATTTATTGACTTCTTTACTTTACTACAATGATCAAAGGAAATTCAAGAAAATGAACAAGTTATATGTTTAATTAGTTATTATTAAAGTTGATTCCCAAGTTTGTGTTTTGTGGACCATGTGTCTGCTGAGATCTGAAAAAAGATTAAGTTGAAGCTTTTAAAATATTCTTCTTTTGATTAGCATATTCAATATTATTATGTCATTTATATGAGTTTATTGAAATTGATTAAATGCAGATGGCTAAGGGCCCTATATGTTGCTTACTAATATAAGTATACACATACTTCTTCTAATAAAACACTGCATAGATTATAGTTTTTTTTTGTAAAAAGAGACAAATCACACTAGCTGCCACCCTGATTGAATTTAAATCTCAACATTATGCATGCAAATTTTAAAGTAAATCAGATATGAATTAATGTATGTATTTTTACTGTACCCTCTCTCAGTGATGCAAACACTTTGACATTTAGTTAGTCTGTTAGCACCAAACTCTTCTTCCTCATCCATCACATCTTGTGAGCCATTTTCATATCTGATCACCACATCATAGTCTGCAGGGTCTAAATGTGGATCTAAGTGCATCTCTTTAAACTGTAAAAATACTCAGGTTAAAGTTGAGTGTAATAATTTATATAAATTTACAAACATTTGACAGTTGGAAGAAATTACATTCTAGCCCATTAGAATATTCTTTTAACTTAAATTCCACTTAAATTTAGCCAATTTTTAAACACCACCCCCAAATCATAACAATAAATAACCAATAACATTTCATTACTTAAAGCCAAACAGACATCACCTCCTTTATAAATCATAAGCATAATTATAATGAAAATTAAATTATTTTAAAGATAGGCATCTGTTGCCAGGCTTGGATTTCAAAAATGCACTATAAATATTCAGTTCGGGAGCGGAGGGGGGGGGGGGGGGTGAGGCTGTTTTTATTTATTTTGCCTGCCGGTTCAGACACAACCAAATACACCCCTGAGGGCTACTAAATTGAATTGAATGACTCACTGTGTAAGCGGATAAATCTTCAAATACACGTTTCAACACAGGACTACTCCCAAGGACAATTACATGGCACTCTATGCCAGCTTCACTAACAGCCTCTGAAATATTTTTACAAATGTGTTAGCCCAGTGGAGTAGCGAGGTTGGGTGTTACCCGGTGCGGCACTTAATGGTGTCACCCCCCCCCCCCCCCCCCCCAGAGGCGTAGCGACCCTTCCCGGGGACGAACTTTCAAATTTTAGATTTGCACCCCCCCCTCCAAACTTTTGATTTGCACCCCCACCATCAAGTTTTCTCTATATATTTTGCTATTTTTGCCTTGGTGTCACCCCCCTAAATGGTGTCACCCAGTGCGATCCGCACCCTCCGCCCCCCCTCGCTACGCCTCTGTGTTAGCCTAACATATTCTAGTTTTTAACATTAAAAAAAATTAAAATCCTTTAACTCATAATTAATATTTCACATTTTGTTAGTAATACTAGGAAATTTGTTTTATACCTGAGATTGAAACTTTCTGACTAGATAGCAGTAGATAATCATTTTGAGAATAGATTTGTTTATATAGGGAAGTACTAAACTGGCAATGATAGAAGTGCTTTAATTTATGGCCTAGTGGTAAAGCGCTAGACTGCTAGTTCAAATCTGGGTTCAAATCAGTAGAACGTCTTTGAGTCAATCCAGCTCTGATTAGGTACCTAACCCATGTTAGGGAAAATTAATGCAAAGTGCTGACCTAACTATCCTTTCATATGCCAAGGTCACTGAAACAAATGAACTCTACTTCATCTGCCCCATGTGTCTTGGGCACAAAAATAAAATGATGACAATGAATATAAACTTGAGAAAATTATGTTTATTTTTATTAATTATTAAAAATGCATTTTTTGCATAGAAAATATTTTCTTTTAGCAGAACTGTTTATACATTACCTGGATCTACAAGAACAGGTTGACTAAACTTGTCCATATCTCCTGAGATGTCACTGTGTATATGAATAAGAATGGATTATGTATGGGATGGTGTAGTTGAATAGTAGAGTGTTTGAGTGCTAACCCAAATGTCTCAAGTTCAAATAAGGATTGAAGTCCATAGAACTCCCCTGAGTCTCCCTGCTCTGACAGCAACCTACCTCTTAGTAGAGAAAATTAACGGTGGCTGGGCATAGTGCTGACTATGTTATTCCCTCATATGCTGATGTCACAGAAGCAGGTGAACTTTTCTTCCATAGGGATCAATGTAGGCCAATTCAACCCAATATAGGCCTACCATATTTCAAGTTTGTATTATTTTGTATGTTCCATTTTATTTAAAATAGTGTACCTAAAGGTTTATATTTCAAAATTGTTTAAATAAATACATTCAGTACCCTTTTATTTTTAATATGATGATATTATAGTTATAAGCAACACATACTTCGACACAAAATTTTACACTTAGAGTAACGAAAAGTGAAAGTTTTCCTGTTTGTCTTCACATCCTCACCTGATTTATAAAAGTAAAGTGCCCTTTACTTTGAAGCTTGGGGCAGAATGAAGTAGAGTTCACCTATTACAGTGAACTTGGCATATAAAGGAATAGTGTTGTCAGCACTATGCTAAGATGCCTTTAATTTACCTGAGTCAGGTATCCATTAGAGCTCTAACATCATAAAACTTACAAAATATTTAATATTTAAATTACAAAATATAGTCTGATTACTTTTATAGAAATGCATAGACTCTAACATAAAAATCAAATTAATTTTTAATGACTAAATTTGTGACTAATAAAACTATTTGATTATTGGCTTCCAAGTAAGTTGATTGGTGTAAGCAGCTGTGTCAGTATGTATGTGTATATATATATATATATATATATATATATATATATAGGAAAATATATAAATAGGCATATATAATATAGCCTACATTATAAATAGGCATATATATAATAATATTAATAATTTAATAGTATTTGATATATAGTATATAGGCTATAGGCCTACACACATATAGGCCTATAATATATATGTATGTATGTATATTGTATATAATTATATAGGCCTATTTATATAATATAGGCCTATACATTAGGCCCCTATGCAAAAGAAAAAGCTGTCTAAATGTACTTCGAGAATTTTAATTCTAGATCTAGACTATTCTAGACTATACTAGAGTCTATAGATTCTCTATATTATATATCTTTATTCATCAGTCTGCAAAAAAGTGGGCGGTTATAGATCTAGTTAGTAGTTACATACATGATATTATATTATATTAATAATATTATACATGATATAGTTAAGTAACTTAAGTAGATTCTAGTAGATCTAGGCCTAACACTACTAATAACCTAATTGAAAAGAAATGAAACTTGTGTTGTCAATTAATTGTATGTTTTATTTTAAATGTAGGTATAGTTCATACCTCAGTTCACAAATCCACCTACAAATTTATATTGGTACCACAGCTTATATTTTATAGGTCTACTGCATAATATAGATCTAGCAGCGACAGGTTTTTATTATTTTAACTTAACTAAATGCGACTGTTTCTTTATACACATTCTATAATTAGTAATAAACTATTATAACTACGGGAATTTCCGAAAAAATTCGTTGGCATTTCGCTACAATTTAAAAATTACATTTAATATTTATTTATTTTAAAAAAAAATGAATTTTATGCAATTTATAATAGAATACATAATTTTTTGTTGAAAGTTATCAAAATTATTATTTAAATCTTTTTTTAATTAGGGGCTATAAGGCCAAGATCTAGATCTAGTGTTATTTATTAGTTGTGTATTTTATTTGGAAATACCCAGTACGATTTCATCTGACCTTTTTTACTTTCTCGTATATACGAAGTATAGAGAAAGTATTGTAATCGTGCAAAAAAAAAATCGAGATTTTTATAAATCTCGACGTTTTACACCTCACTGATATCGGAAAAACATAATTTCGCAATCTTGTCCGTATGTCTGTGTGTCTGTCTGTGTGTCTGTCTGTCTGTCCGTGTGTAAACACGATAACTTGAGTACCGTTACAGCTAGGTTGATGAAATTTCATATATAAGTATTTTATCAAAATCGTAGATCCGTATCAACTTTTGAGCGATTTCCGATAACCGGAAGTGGTACTTTTCCTACTTTGAATTTTTCAAAAGCCTATAACTTGAGTACTATTTCAGATAGATAAATGAAATTTCACATGTAAGTAAAAGATCTAATTCTCTACCTTCTGTTAAATTTTGAGTAATTTCCGTTGACTGGAAGTAGTACTTTACGCTACTTCCGATTTCTCAAAAAACTAATGTAAATTTTAAAAGTACTAATAATATTGCGCACTATTATGCGCTTTTTTATAAGGCGTTCACTTGGTGTGCAATTAATTGTCTACGAGATTTTATTCTATTTTTAAAACTTTAAGTATTTAAAATGGACTAAAAATCATGTCTATAGCCCGAGTTCCCATCCCCTGTTATTTTATATAAGAATATTCGAGAAAGTTTAGGGGAGATCACTCCCGGTTTATTATTATTTTTTTTTTTAAGAATTAAAATATGTACCTACTAGATCTAACTTCCCGAAATTTATCAACGAAAAAAACCAATATATATATATATATATATATATATATATATAATATATATATATATATATATATATATATATATATATATATATATATATATATATATATATATATATATATATACTAGGCATGCTGCCTAGCTTCGCTTAGGTTTTTAAAAAACATTTGAGAATTTGAATACTTAATTATTTAGCGATGGATTGGGTGGAGGGTGCTTTAATTTAAACAGTAAAGCTAACTTTAGAAAAAAATGTTTTGTTTGTCATTTAAACCCCGTTCTAAGAGAAATAGTGGAAAGTACGCAATGTATAAATAAAATGGAATTAGAACTACACAGGTTTCATGAACAGTATATCTAATGGTTTATATTACATTGCCTTTTGAAATTTATTTGATTATCTAATTAGGATACGTAACTGAATTAACAACTTAATTTTGTACTACAACAAATGCTATACTTCGTCATTTTCTGTTTCTGTTTAAAATAGTATACAATTATTTGAAAAATAATAATTTAAAAAACGTTACCTCCCTTGAAAACTGAACGTATGACGTATGTCTTTGCTATGCTTATATAAGAAATTATGGTATATGAACATATTTAACAACTATAATGGCTGTTTCCGACGGGAATACATTTTTTTGTTACCCTCCAGGGTCGGTCTACGACGTCATATAATATTAAGGGGATCGTTCGTCAATTTATTTATATATATATCTCATATAAGGTGAACTTCACTCACGATTATCTTTTAGCCCTCGTCGAGGGCTTTGAGTCTGACCAACAGTTTTTCCATACGGCATAGTCATCTATAGTAGTGTATGCAAAAACTTAGCATGATGTACAGACGTTAAGTAACCTAAAAATTGTGTTAAATTTTCCCGGTTTTTGCCATAAAATACAAAGATTATATAGGGAAATACAACTGGTCAGTTTTGACCGCTTTACGAAGTTTTCCCAAATATGCCGCGTTTTTTGAGACACCCCTAGGTGTTCTTCTACCACCTCACTAAATATCAAGGGGGGTCGTCGGAGGAAATTTTTTTTTTCGTAATAGAGCTCATATAAAGAGAATTTCACTCGCGGTCACTTTTTAGCCCTCGTCGAGGGCTTTGAGTGTAACCGACAGTTTTCCCTAAAGGTCAAGCCATTGTCCTAGGAGCATGCAAAAAGTTAGCCAGATATACTGAGCTTAAGTACCCTAAAGTCTGCATTGAAATGACCCTCTGTTTTTCCCATAAAATACAAAGATTATATAGGGAAATACAACTGGTCAGTTTTGACCGCTTTACGAAGTTTTCCCAGATATGCCGAGTTTTTTGTGACACCCCTAGGTGTTCTTCTACCACCTCACAAAATATCAAGGGGGGTCGTCGGAGGAAATTTTTTTTCGTAATAGAGCTCATATAAAGAGAATTTCACTCGCGGTCACTTTTTAGCCCTCGTCGAGGGCTTTGAGTGTAACCGACAGTTTTCCCTAAAGGTCAAGCCATTGTCCTAGGAGCATGCAAAAAATTAGCCAGATATACTGAGCTTAAGTACCCTAAAGTCTGCGTTGAAATGACCCTCTGTTTTTCCCATAAAATACAAAGATTATATAGGGAAATACAACTGGTCAGTTTTGACCGCTTTACGAAGTTTTCCCAGATATGCCGAGTTTTTTCTGACACCCCAAGGCCTTCTCTTACCACCTCACAAAATATCATGGGGGGTCGTCGGAGGAAAAATTTTTTCGTAATAGAGCTCATATAAAGAGAATTTCACTCGCGGTCACTTTTTAGCCCTCGTCAAGGGTTTTGAGTGAGACCGACAGATCTGCCCTACGGTCAAGCCATTTACCTATAAACATGCCAAAAATTAGCCAGATGTAAAGAGGGTAAGTGCCCTAAAATCCGTTTTGAAATGACCCTCTGTTTTTCCAATAAAATACAAAGATTATATAGGGAAATACGACTGGTCAGTTTTGACCCGTTTCCCGATTTTTCCCGGACATGGCGAGTTTTTTGTGACACCCCAAGGCGTTTTCCTACTACCTCACAAAATTTCAAGGGGGGTCGTCGGAGGAAATTTTTTTTCGTAATATAGCCCATATAAGGCGCCGGTCAGTCGAGGTCAGTTTTGACCCCCTCTCCGTAGACGTTTCGGCAAACCGTCACCGGCCCTCGTGTTCTATCGCCAGAAGGCACCATCGTGCCAAATTTGACGCGCCTGCGGCGCCGGGAAGTGCCCTATCGGGCACTTGACCACTTTGCTTTATATATATAGATATATATATATATATATATATATATATATATATATATATATATATATATATATATATATATATATATATATTATACTAATCGACCACAAACAAACCAAACCTATATAAGTTTTTAAAAATAGGACATTCATGACAAAATACGTAGACTCAGACATCTACAATAAAGTACAATAAAAAACAATTTTAAAATTAAGTTATGTACCTAGGCCTAGGGCTGAACCAAATTATAAATCATACTATTTTAGAGAATATCATGGTTTATACCCGTATTTAAAAACAGTCGCAAAGCATTATTTTTTATTAAATTTAAATATATAGTATTATATAGGGGCCTATCTAAAGGCTTGTAAAAGTTAGACTTTCAAACCTGACGGTCTATGGGGCAAGTGAAGTAGAGTTAAGTTAACTTATATTTCTGTGGCCTCAGCAAATGAAGAGATAGCGTGGTGAGCACTATGCCCCGCCGCCTTTACTCTCCCTAACGTGAGTTAGGTACCCATCAGAGTTGGGTGGACTCAGGGGCGGTCTACTGAATTGAAACCGGATTCGAACACGAGACTTACGGGTTAGTAGTCCAGCTCTCTACCACTTGACCCCTCCGTCCCAGTAAAGGCTTACAGATCCAGAATTATGCCAAGTTACGTCAGCTTTCAATTATCCAGCTGATAAAGTGGCCGCCTTCTTCTAGCACCCTTTCCTCTCATCAGAGTAGATCTGTCTCCACCAGGTCTTTTCGTACCATTACATCTATCAACCTTGCATCCCCATGGTACACATGCCTTTACAAACAATTCCAGTGCAGCCCAGTTCATTCACAAACTTTGGGCTGATAGACAGCTAAGGAGTCGTAAAATCAGGTGAAATGTCAGACTTTTTCCGGGTTTTTATTTACTTTGTAGAATATAATAGAGATTTATCAAAACGCTTAGTGCTTACCAAGCTCAGTAAATATTTTTGAAAGAAGTCGAACACACCACCACCTAGCATTCTATTTCGATTGTCGCCTTATTTCTTTCTGCTCGGAGCAATGTACTGCTTACATTATAGTACTAAAAGGCCTTCAAGTGTGTGCATATATTAAACGCGTTCCAATACTCAGACTTATTTTTTTCCTCAGAAAGTTTACTGTCGGGGAATATTTCTGGTGTTATGCCATCTTGTGTCAACCATCGTGTTTTAATGAGGGGCCTACCTATCGCTGGTATAATCGGACTCTAGGTTGGTTTAGTTGCTAGAACTGTTTACGTCGTTACCTGATGGGTTTGTACCTGTAATTAGGCTTCTCTTTTCCTCTCTATTTTTATTCCCTATTCTTTTTTTTCCCATCATGTTGATTTTGCTGTGTGATAACGCATTGTCTACTTCTTTTTCTAACGATGACTTAATTTCCATGATTTTTCCTATAATTGTAACATATAACTAAACCCTTTATTCCCTTCTCAAAAACCAATAAATCTACTGCACGGGCTATAATCTATCGGGTATTAGTGCTATTTCTGGTTTAACCCAGAGTGGTTGACTTCTAGTCTTAACTTAATTAAAACACAAAACAAGCATTTATTATCTAAGCATTTATTATCTAATCATAACTTTATTAAATAAATAGTGGAGTCAACTTTTAACAAAAAATATTTATAAAACTAAAGTTAAAAACGTAACCTGACACTAAAAGGAAAAAAAAGATAAGTAAAAACGATTTTAAAGAGAGAATGAAATTTATACACATAATAATAAATACATACATTATTAAGGAATGTTCACATTTTAAGTTCTACAAAGAGCTGATGTGATAAACTACTACGTCTACAACTAAAAACCGTACTTGTAAGTTTATAGAACCGAGTCGCACCAAGAACACAGATTGTTACTTCCTGTTACCAGAGTACCAACACGTTTATATACAGATCTAGTTATAGGTATAAAATAACTCAGAAGACAGTTTCACTAACAACACATATATCAGTCAGTAAAGGTTAATTAATCCACACTTCAGTAAATGTCAATTAATCCACACTGGTAGAGCAGCGGTTTGCATGGACCAAACAGTTCTTGTTTTGAAAGCAACTGTGAGTTTCGTGAAGCCTGCATAGTTACTGTTTCAGACTAGTTGTCCGTACTTGACTTTTGAATCGATAGATTGCTAGAGCACACAGGGGGAGGACGTCATTAGTCTTGTGCGACATAAGCAAAGCTATCACTTTTATTATACACTGTATCTTGATCGTTGCTGGCTAATATTACCTCAGGGCTACTAGGCATACTGTTTGGTTTTCTGTAGCTTTCAACTCCAAAAGCGCTGATATTGTTTCCATCACTCTGAGCTCCTCTATGCACATGAGTTGTTAGGTAACGTTTTTGTACACGCGGCATCGCATCACCTAAAATAAACACAGCAGCACCACTTGAACCTGGGCAGGTACACGTTGTATAAGTGTACCGTGTATGCTCATGATCTAAAGTTGAGGTGATCGATTCTTTATGAACCCATTGTCCAACAGATATTTGTTTAAAGCCTCCATGTGGATGGGAAACTATTATTGTTAGTTTATCTATTTCTGACATTGTAAATAATTCCTTTATGTGTTGTTCTCTTTCATGTAGACGTGTAAGTAACTGAGATAATTCTAAACCAAGATCTAAATCATGTGTTACAAACTGAACTAAAGATGTATCCTTTGCAACATTTTTATCAGTCACTCTAACCCCACACACTTTAACAACTGGCGAATACTCATCATCATACCTAAGTCTCACAACAGACTGGCGAGCTTCTGATGTATCAAATACAACATGGGCCGCTGTCTGCACATTTATTAAATAATAAACTTTAGCTGGTGTATCTGAATTTTCACATTCGTGACATGGACACGTTCTGCTGTTGGGGTCATGGTTACAATCTTGTCTGCTGACTGACACAATAAATCCAGACCCCGTTCTCAGACGATGCTGCCCACGTACATTGTAACATGGGTAAGGATCTCTAGAACCCTCCACATACCTTGGTCTATTTAAACTAGAAAATTTTGCTGTTACTCTCCCAGTTAAGTCTGATAAGGTTTTAATATAAGAAAAAATATCATCATTTTGATATCCTGGAGGCAAATGTTCTATTGTAAAGTTATATACAGGAATGAATTCGGGATGTCCTGGGTTTTTCCTACAATCAACCGTAGTTGTATGAAGATCATTTTCATGTTTATTTTCATCAAAGTCAACATCTTGTTGATCACCTGTAAAACAATTTTAAAATAAATAGCATATAAAACAATGCTATGTATAGTCATACATACTAAATATTATGTATAGATGAAACAGGAGAACAAATATTAAAATCAAAGATAATGTAAAAAGAGGTAATTACTCTGAATTTAAAAGTCAAAAGATATTAAACACAGTGCTTTAAAAGAAGTGCAATTCGAAATTACACCCGCGACTTCCTCCCTATAAAACCTATTTTTTGTCCAAACATGACGTTACATTAATTGGTTATGATAAGTACCAAAGGAGAGGAAGGGACTTAACAAAGTCAAAAAGAGAATTTGAATAATTAATTAATTGGTCATTAGCTGTTATGTGTAGTTTTTTTTTTTTTTTTTTTTTTTTTTAGTTGTTCCAAATTTATTCTGACATGTGCTATGTATCACAACTATGTATTATAAAATCTTTTTTTACCACACATCCATTTGAACACACTAATTCATCAACTTCACCCTTTTCCTGATTCAATACACATCAGAGCATGCATTTTTTCTCTACACTATATTAACTATATATACACAAAAAAACTGTAACACATATGGTTACCAGCCAAAGGGGGATAAAACTATGAAGTTTTTATTCATTGGGTTGCGGCCCCTGTGGGACTGCAACTGAACTGTTGACGTTTTTTTATGCTTTTGTGAGCGAAATTACCTGTGTTCCATGTCATGTGACATGTGCCTAGTCGTGTCGCACACGCAAGGCTGCTGTCTGTGGACCAAGATGTAGATCAAAAGATCAAAATAGAAACAGAAACTGTAGCCCTAAAACAAATGTAAAATAAAAAAGTTACATTCAGGACAACACCACGTGTAAGCTACAATATACACGGGTACAATAAATTATGTTTTCGGCCAGTACACAGTACTGCCAACAAGTACCAATAAGTAGTACTACAAAATAAATACTTAATTTAATACATCACCCTAACTAGTGTGCACATGCAGCACTAGCAGGAATACATAAGTAAGTATTTTAACAAACATAATTTAAATATCTACACTACCTTCATTAGGTCTACATCTTGGTCCACAGACAGCAGCCTTGCGTGTGCGACACGACTAGGCACATGTCACATGACATGGAACACAGGTAATTTCGCTCACAAAAGCATAAAAAAACGTCAACAGTTCAGTTGCAGTCCCACAGGGGCCGCAACCCAATGAATAAAAACTTCATAGTTTTATCCCCCTTTGGCTGGTAACCATATGTGTTACAAAACAAACAACTGAAAGTCAATTGTACACAATAAAAATATAATATTTTCATTTTCTCTTTCCTTTCATTTTGCTTGCAACCTTTGAACTTTTTGTAACCTTCTTCTTCTTCTTCTTCTTCTTCGTGGTCGAGTCGGCAAAAAGCTCATGGTTAATGAATTCGAACAAAGTCTAGAGTTCAAACCCACTGGCAGATAAATCTCGATCCCCTTCAACACTAATAATTAAGAACGAAGAAGAAGAAGAAGTAACCAATTCAGGTCCTTTATGCTTTTTGGGATTTTTTTCATCAACATACTCTTAAAGATAGTCTAATATTTCTAAATAGGAGAGGTTTCCTGTCTTGAATATCAGTTTTTTGCCATCATTGAATTCTACATCAATCTGAGGTTCTATCCTGTCTGATCTGATATCAAATCTGATGCCGGTTCCAACATTGGTTTCTAATACGTTAGGCAAGTGAAGGGTTGATGCCACATCCCTGATAGATGTTACATTATTCATATATGGATCAAAAGTAAATTTAATTTTCTTAACAGGACGCAAATGTAATATTTTAATTAAATAACTTGTAGCTTTTCGAAATGCGAAAGCCATGTTTTGTATTTGGTTTCACTGCTTGTTGCTGAGTAATTTCATGTCATGCAAAATCTGTGTATTAGCATTAGTTGTTCAATGGTAGTTATGTTGTTTTTGTCTTTTAGAAAACACCTATTTCGGCTGAGCATGGGTCTGACCACGCCCTTCCTTCATATGCTAAAAAGACAGAAAGAGGTGAACTCTACTTCACCTGCCCTTGTCCCGCCAAGTCCCAATAGGCGATTTTATTATCAACATATAACAAAAAAAATTGAAAAAAAATTAAGATTGACTGGGTGTGTCTCGAACCCGTACCACCCACATGGTATCAATTACACTCTCATCTCAACAACTATTTAGGCACCTTACGAATTATAAAGAATAAAAGGCTTACTTTAAAAATTTAACTTACGCGAATAGCCTTATTCTTTCAAAGTAAATTTTATCCGAGAAAATTGTATTGTATACATTTCATAGAGTACGTAGATCTAAATCAAATTTGAATGAAATATTTCTTTTCTTTTTATTCTAAAATCGGAATATGACGCCATGAGTTTCTGTTAACAATTGGCATGTGACATCATTGTATTCAGAGTTTCTTCCAGGCATCTCTTCCAGTGGGGGCAGAGCCTACCAGTCTACTGCCCACCGAACGAAATGTAATTTATATAGAAAATATATACATTTAACAGTGTCTCCCCCCCCCCCCCCGAAAAAAGTCTACCGCCCCCCTCGAAAATTTCAAGTGCCCCCCCCCCCCCCCCCCCCATGCAGAATAAAGTCTGGAAGAAATACTGATAGTTTTATGCGTTCTTTTTCACAACTATAAATACTTTTCCGATTGCATAATTAAAACTGTTTTTCTACATTCGAATACCCCATTATTTTTTGTTTCTTCTTTAAATAAAAAAATACATTAAAAACATCTATTATATTATTTTCAACAAAAGTCCGTATCAAGTTCTCAATATAACGCTGAAGATTCTGATGTGATATCCTGCGAAAATATTTTGTGGACAGAGAGAGAGAGAGAGATAGATAAAAGCATATGGGCTTTTACATATTAGGATTAGTAGTAATAGGGTGTCTTCTACTACTAGTTAACACAGAGGCGTAGCGATGGGGGGGGGGCGGGGGGGGACATATGTCCCCGGGCGCCGACCTTAGGGGGGGGGGCGCCAAATTTAAAGTTTGAGGGGGGGGTGTAAATGAAAAGTTCTAGGGGAGGGTGCAAATCAAAAGTTTGAGGGGGGGGGGGGGGTGCAAATGAAAAGTTAGAGGGGGGGGGGGTGCAAATCGAAAGTTCGTCACCGGGCGCCGGGAAGGGTCACTACGCCTCTGATTTAACACACTATTACTTGCGCATTATCATGTTCATTTGGTGTGCAATAGCTATTAGTCATGAAACTCTATTGTATTTAAAAGTACTGAGAAATAAAGCGAGAATGACCCCCCCCCTCAACAAAAAAACAACTTTGTTGAATATTCTTATACGAGATATATGGCCCGTTGAGGGAGAGGTACAACGGGCGCTAGGTTGATAGTGTTGTCTTTTTCTCTAAACCGAAACCAAAACCGAAATCACAACCCCAACTTCAAAATTTTTTTAAATACATAAAAAATGCCACTATTTCAATCAATCAATTCATCATCGCATGACAAAGAAAAGGAAGGGATGGGCGAGGTGAGTCGTTTGAGCACCACAATTTACACACATATATATATATATATATATATATATATATATATATATATATATATATATATATATATATATATATATATATATATATATATATATATATATATATATATATATATATATATATATATATATATTTATATATATATATATATATTTATATATATATATATATATATATATATATATATATATATATATATATATATATATATATATATATATATATATATATATATATATATATATATATACTAGCTGCATACCCGTGCTTTGCCACGGTAAATCTTTAAATGTATCAACTTGGGTACAGAGATTTAATGATTTGTTATACTATAGTGCTACACTTGTATATCCCCTTAAAGCAAATAAAGCAAAATGAATACGCAGCTGACTGCATCATTATCTTTCTATAAGGTGTGTATAAGGAGTGTGTAAAAAAAATGGCGCAATTGTAATCTTTATGCTTTTTTGGAAGGGTTCTAAGAGAGCAATAGTTTAGTGAGAATTAAATACATTAAAATAACAGAGCCGACCTCCATAAAATAGACCTTACGAGACATGAACAGCAATCTGAAAAAAATCCAACACTGTACCGACCCACACCTAACTCACCGTCATTCTCCTAGCCCAGGGGTCGGCAACCTTTTGAAACGCAAGAGCCAAAAGTTACAATTTACAAACTTTCCCATATTTTAAAGAGCCATAACATTTTTAGTTCAATATTCGGTATTTGATTAGGATTAGGTAAATAAAGTTGATTTGTTATTTAAAATAAATAGCTTTAAATATGAAATAATATTTATTCATATAAAAACATAGACATGTTTCGCCAGAATAGTAAAATTAGTAATCAAATAATATTATTCTATGACTATCTCAATCCACTTTAGAAGCTGTTAATTTTTATTTTATTTTTTCTTTACGGATATCACCGACTCATGGGGTTTCTCCCATTAAGGCCTCAACACGACAAACGCCGACTAACTGGCTTGGATATCGGTTTGAATAACTTGCATCGTTCGCTTCTATCCTTTGGTTCTCACCAGGCTTATCTTCTATCCCACTGAACGCAGGGTAAAGTCGTACACCACCGTCCAGTAAAAATGAAATTATATAACTATTAATATTTGTGCAAGGAGCTAGAGAGCCGCATCTGGACGTCAAAAGAACCGCATGCGGCTCGCGAGCCGCAGGTTGCTGACCCCTGTCCTAGCCACATCAACCCGCAAGCACCACTCGTACATCACTGTATTATCCAAACTGCTGCATCTGTGATGTTTTTTATGCTGATATAGCAACCAAAACCGTAACTCATAAACCTCTCTAAAATTTAATTTTACATATTAAACAAATTAGCATTTTAGAAAACTGGCGCAACGCTCTAACTGATATCTGCTGAGATTTCTCTTCTCCCCTTCCCCGTGGTATAATGTAAACCGCCGACGTACAACATGTATTAAACCACGTACATTTAATTTAACTTTAGCCATTCCGTAGATTATAATAATTTAATTATTTAGCGTGAGTTGAATTTATTTTTATATTACCTCCATTGGAAAATGACAAAACAGTTTATTAATTTGTTTTTTCGACCCTATTATTATTAAAATATATCTACTTTTTCTAAGAATCTAAACGAAAATGATATTTGACATTCATCCGCATATATGTTTTTTGCAATGTGCGTGTATTTAATATTTTCTTTACGTTATTCGAAAGAGTAAAAAAAGAGTGGCAACTATAAAATAAATTAAAGTCGTTATATAAACAAACCCTACTCTATTACTTATAATAAGATACTGCGAGGCCCTGAAAAGCACTGCATGGTGCGATGTTTACTTTTATGGTTCCAAAATCTATAGCGATTACGGACTGACACACTAACAGCCGGCTTATATTATACTAGCTGCATCCCGTGCTCCACCACGGTAAATCTTTTTTTAAATGTACCAAGTTGGGAACAGAACAAAACTAAACACAACACAAACGAACGCAAAAAAAAACACAAACGAAAAAACAAACACAACACTCATAACATAAACTCAATTTAAATGCAATCATAAAGGCATATTGCTCACAGTCTATCCCGTAGCGCCAAAATCGCGCCCTTTCCGAGCGCCGGCGGACGCGTCTGACACAGGGAATGACTATAAACCAGAGGCGTAGCGACCCTTTCCAGCGATCGGGGACAAACTTTAGATTTGACCCCCCCCCCTCAAACTTACGATTTGCACCCCTTCCCCTCAAAATTTCAATTTCCACCCTACCCCCTTAAACTTTCGATTTGTACCTCCCCTCAGACTTTCGATAAATTAAAGGCAGTATTTAGAATATCCGTGTTTTACCGACCATATTGCACTTTATAAATTTATGCATTTTTTCAGTACTTTTTAAAATTTACAACAAAGTTCCATGACTAAAACCATTGCGCACCTAATGAACGTGATGACTTAATATAATAATGGAGAATAGTTGATTAAAAATTATAATTAGTAAACAGTACATTCAGTGAATAAAATAAATAAAATATAGCCTTTTATCAATCAATGCTAATTATAATATTCCAACAATAATGTACTCTTACAAGTCTGCATAATTTGCATTCACATTTTGCTAATTATATTATTATTTAAATTATTATTGTTATTATTATCCAACAATTATTCCGTCTTGGAGATTTTGCATTCACATTTTTTAGCGTGAGTTTAATTTTTTTAGCGCAATTTCCATTCTTTTTATTAACTCGTCATTTCTGGATGTATGAATGAATGGATGGATGGATGTGTGTCCGCAGCTTTAAGTCGTATCTCCTCCTCAACGAAGCAATATCAAGGACTAGTTCCAAAAGCAATTATGTTAAGCAAGTTACGAGGATGAACATAGGCCATAAAAACTCCGGGTTTCTTTCATGGATTTCCCGGAAAAGCCAAAAAAAAACTCGAAAAAATGCAGTTTTTGGCCCATATCTCGGCAACCAGACCACTTAGCGACTTGAAACATGTACCAATCGACTCCTGCCATAATTTAGAACAATATTGCCGAAGAAAGGTTTCAAAAATATCCTTTCGTTCAGTCACAAATTTTTTTTTGAATTAATTAAAATTTGGACCGAGTTAGTAGGCATTTTTATCCAACCACACCACACGCGTCATCACGTTCAATAGCTGCGCCATCACGTTCAATGGCTGCGACATCACGTTCGGTAGCTACGCGCGCAATGGTTTTTAGACATGTAACTCTATTGTAACTAAAACATGTATTTTAACCAATGGTTTTACTAACCCTGCTCTTGATTTACGCTACGACAGAGCTATTTTTAGATAACATAAGGAAATTGCGCTAAAATTTCACTAGACTTTTTAATTACCTTGTTTTAAATTACCTCCTATCGCATCTTTACCTTCCCTGCCTTGTGTGACTATTTTCGATAGGACGTAGTATAGTGTCATTTATTCTTACAATGTTAGTTTCTCAGCTTTGATGATACCAAGCAGGTTCTCAAAAGTATCTATCCATTTGTCGCGCCACTATTTAAGCTGCTATAATAAAAAGCTTGGGTCGCGCTAATGGTTTTAATAATTGTATTAAATACATGAAATATTAACTACGCTTTTCTTATAGTTACTTTAATACTGGTGCGTTTTGTATATTTAAAGAATGTCAATTTATTTTGTTTTATTTTATTTAAAGTGCAAAACATTTTTACTTTCTCGTTTACTGAGAATATAGGAAGTAGTGTAATCGGGCACAAAATAAAAATCAAGATTAAGACAAACGCTCGAAGTTTTACAAGTTTCTTAGTAGGAAAATCATAGTTATTAAAAGTTGGTTGTAGGTTTTTCTGTATGTGAATGTTTGTAAACACAATAACTTGAGTGCTGTTTAAGTTAGGTGGAATGAATTTTGTATAAAGCATTTGATCATGTATTTTACTATCGACTTATGAGCAATTTACTAAAACTTGAGTAGTCTTTTAATTAGAGGGACATAGCTTCAAATATAAGTCCTAGAATGAATAACGAGACTTTATTGCATTTTCGCGTATTTGCGATAACGAAGTACCGTTTCAGTTAAGTGGACGAAATCTCACGTGTATGTATGAAATACTAAAATAATATGTAGCGTTTTATACATTTTCGAGCCATTTGCGGTCACCGTAAATAGTACTTTACCTTCATCATTTGAACATTTTGTACAATATTTTGTCGGACAGAATATTATAAGAAGTTTTAGCCACAACGTGTATTCTCAAAAAGAAAAAAAACAACAACTAAAAACAAATAATCAACAAGGATATGTTACGAAGTTATCTACCATGTCAAGAGCTCAATTCCACTAAAAGTGCCATCCAAACCGTTATATGAATTTACGTATAAACGAGAAAGTTTAGAGGAGCCCATTCCAGTCTTTTACCACTTATTTTAAATTAAAAAAAAAAACATTACCGTTATTCTCATCGGTTACTGTAGGGTTCAATTCTTTTAGATCTAGAAAATCCTGTAAGAAAAAAAAAACAAAAAACAAAGTAAGATATTTAGGGACAACTTAAAATTTATATCCATTCTCCATATAAATACAGACGTATAAACAGAGTTAGGCCCTATATAGCCTAACCGTCCCCGCGCGTTTCCGCGGGGGTAGAAGTTAGTCTGCCGTAATATATAAGACAGGTTTCATCAATCCCAATCAATACCAATCCTATGTTCTTAGACGCGTGACTTTGTTTTCTAAAACTGAGTTATTTAAATGTAAACAATGCCAGCGCTTGGATCATAATTATCTGGACACGGGTTTACCAACACTACCGCATGAAAACCTTGAGTGTACATTAATCACTCACCGAAATAAGGAGATATATAAGGAACACACTTCGGTTACCACCCATGTAACAAAGAAGTAGAGGGGCGCTCTCGGGGGCCCCCAGTTACACTACCGCAGAGGTGCCGCGTACGGCCACTGGCTACTCAAAACTAACAAAGGCTCAATTGTGCTCATCGGATAACCCAGAGCGCCAAATAGCATCCTGAAACAATGATGCAGATTGCGTCAATCGCTAAAGTGAAACAAATCAACAGGATATTTTCTTTAACACGCTGAAAAAAATAATATTTCACGTGTTATAAACATCTGTGTGATTTGGTAGCATTACTAATGTGGTATTATTAGAAGTTCGATCTCAATTTCTGATTGGATCTTCTAAAAATAGATGCTAATTGCATCATTCGCAAAGTGACGAAGCTGTTTGGATTTTTTTACGGATAAAAGAAAACAACCCAGTTCATAATCTAACCTTGGTTAGATTTTTTTATTATTACAAAAAAATTTATTACAGGCCCCTCAACGGCATGAGCATTTGGGGCCGAAACTGAATTTTTTTTTTGCAGCCTAATCGCACCCTACCAGGCCAGGCGGACATGCCTGATCCAATTAAGTGAGCAACTGTAGCGCCCCATCTTATCCATTATCTATCACACTGTTTAGAACGAACGTGGTCGCCATAGAGCTAATGGGAAAGACCAGAGCGCCAAATCGCATCCTGCCGGGGGCCGCCCGTGCGAAATTATTATTTTTTGTGCAGAATCCTTCCCTGCAATGTTCTAATTAACTCCCCCAACCGCTTCCTCCCGTGGCGCCGCCCTTGCGAAATTAATTTTTTATGTGTGCAGACACCTCACCTCTAGTGTTTTAATGAACTCACCAAAGTTTGATGGCGATCGGATAAACGGTGTGAAATCGCAATCGACCTTTATTTTTATATACCGTATATAGAGAAAAAACAAATCGCGCCCCACCGGCGCGCAACCCCTGTGAATTTGAATTTTTTTTCGCAGAAACCTTCCCAGAAAAGTTCTCATTCCCAAAGTTTCACGGCGATGTGGTGAGAGGTGTAGTAATGCACAAAAGACAGACAGGCGGACAAACAAACAAACAGACACACACGCACTAATACATTGCTTTATAAAAATATATACATATACATATATATATATATATACATATATATATATATATATATATATATATATATATATATATATATATATATATATATATATATATATATATATATATATATATATATATATATATATATATATATATATATATATATATATATATATATATATATATATATATATATATATACTAGGCATTCTGCCTAGCTTCCTTTAGGTTTACAAAAAACTTATGAGAGTTTTAATGATTAATTAATTGGTATCTGGCTGTTATATGGAGTGCTTAGGGCTTAAGTTTAAATAGTCTGAGTATTTTCATGTCATGAAAGCGTTTTTGTATTCGTAAACTTATAACTCGCAAGGTAATTAGAACTGCAAAGGCTTCATTAATAGTGAAAGTCATATATTATATTAAACTTACTTTTACAATTAATTTTTACAATTTCAGTAAAATAAATAACTAAATGTATAACGAAATATTTATTTAAACGAATGCTATACACTGTGTTTTTTTTTTATATATGAAACGAGCCGACCCGCGTTGTATCATACGCTGCTATTTAGTTGTTGTTTTTCTACTTTTCGGTAATTCATAATTTGTGAATTCGACAGTACCAATGCTGCCACTGAAAATATTTGCTTTAAAACACTAAACCCCCCTTCCCTCCCCCCACCCCACCGAAAGCAGCCTCCTCTTAGTTACCTCCTCTAAGTTTAAAATCGTTTCAAACTAAATTATCTGCCCCTAATAGCAGTCACCAAACCCGGCTCTACGATTGTAAAATGTAAACATTTAGAGTGAACCACAGCTCACCAGACCATGTGGGGGTGGGGGGTGGGTAGCGATAGAGAGAAAGAGAGGGCACTGCAAGGCGCGCTTGCAGCTTGTTTTCTAACGTCTCCCAGAAAATAATTATATATATAGAAAGAATACAAATTATTTAAAAATTACTACTTTAATAAGTTACCTCCCCTGTACATGGATCGAATGACGTACTCTTTGTTTACATTTTCCCAAACAATGTTTTATATGAGAAAATATCGAATCTGGACAAATCTAACGTCCCGAAGGGTTTTTTTCCGACGCAAATAAAGTGTTTTTGTTCCCTTCAGGATCGGTCTACGACCTCACAAAATAGGGGGATCGTTCTAGCTAGGCCAATGCAAAAATTTAATTTCAGTAAAACAATATAATAGTTACATATTTGGATAGGGGCTGTCAATCTGATTACAGATCAGTTTGAAAAATCTGACCATAAACAAAAAAGTTATGAATTTTTTAGTCATTAAAAAACAGCAGTTTTTTCAGACAACCGGGGTAGACCCTGAAAGAGGAAAAATACTGGGAGGGTATGGACCAAATTTTTAAGCGTTTTTCACTAAAAGTGGTATAAAAGCCAGAATACTTTATCAATAGATGTAATTTTAAGACATTTTATAGATTTTTGTATGCTGAATCCAATGATGCTATTTTAAAAAGTGTCCTTCGATTACTCAACCTACTAATCTCATAGATTATGTAATACCCCCCTTTCAATTTTTTTTAAACATCAAATAATCAATGTGATAAGAAGTCATTCTTTAAATGTAACGCTGTTTTAATCTAAAATATGACATTTGTATATGCTTAAGCTAATAGTAGATTTAAAATGGTCCAACATTGTTACATAACTATCAAATGTTAAGGTTATGTAATCCCACCCTTTGCTCAAAATATACCATGAATTTGTTTTAAAATCACTTTTGCTCATTGTCAGTTAACTTCAAGTTAATAGCCTACTAGAAGAAAATATAACTAATCAAGTTTTTCAATACAAAGAGAAGAATGCTATAGTACATTTGTGATTATGTAACTTCTTAAAAGATGTTATGTAATCTATGTCCAATACTATAGGTCTACTCTATTCCAAAATGTAGGCCTATTTCATTATAATTATATTTCTTGTTATTTTAAATATCATACAACTTTTTGCTATAGAATGAGTCTAGTTACAAATGTGTCTGATCAGAATCAGAGTGTGCTTTATGATAATTATGTAATATTATTACCCATATTAAAGTTAATCATTTTTACAATGTCAATAAAATAAACATAAACTTTGGAGGAAAATATTTTTTTTTTAAAAACTTGCACAAGGTATAGTTAAGTTATAGATATATAACATAAATTTATATTTATGCCCAATGTTTATGCTAGTAGTAAGTAGGTTTATGTATTTTGTAAGCCTACCAGTAGGCCTTTTACAATTAACAACTTTCTTAAGAAAAAAGCACGTGTTTGAGTGCTTGACTGTGTAGATCTAGTAGATTCTAGAAATTGTGTAAGATTACCGTGTTTGGCTATACACAGACACGTGTACCACCACCAGCTTTTGCCTAGACTTAGTTCAGACATGTGGGTAACCAGGTCTTCTGACCAACGAATTTTATTGCCCTATTACGTAAACACGACCGCTGGATAGGCTAGTCGGCCAACCCAATGAACGTGTCAGATGAATATTATGTAATCACAGAGACAAAAGTCTGGCAAGATTTCCTGATCTATGCCCGAGGGTTAGTAACATCAACTCCACAAAGTGAAGGGGGAGGGAGGTGGGGTATGAAACCACCGTGTACCGTACGGGTGTTATACAACATCAAAAGCGATGCTCGTCGGCTTGTCGCGTCACGGACTAGTGGGGGCGGGGTGAGACTATGGGTGTTACATACGGTGTAGGATGGTCAGTGGCTACCCCCATCCACCCCGGTAAACGGAAAAAAAGTCACAGGAAGAAAAAACACAGAAAAAAAGTCACAGTTTTTGCTAGGAAAAAAAGTCACAGAAAAAAAAGTCACAGTGGAAAAATTTTATCGGAAAAAAAGTCACAGAAATAAAGTCACAGAAAAAAAGTCACAAAAATCTTTTTAGAAATATTTTTATTAATTTGCTAAGAATTGTTAAATTTTGTATATTTATTGTTGAGGGTTGTATTTTTTGATAGCATAAATTATTTATAGACGTTAAAAGCATTATGATTCATAACAATTGTAAGTAAAAATACTCTAAGATAATTAACACAACAATCTCAACTTTTGTTACGTATTTAGTTAAATACGCGGTAGAAAAGTTAATTATAAAAGAAATTTAGGCACATTTTGCCGTAGGCTATTCTCTGGTCGGCCTCTCCGCAGTAGGCATTGTCCGAACATATTTTGTGTTGTTGACGTTATGCGTCAATGACAGCCTCTGAACCTTGTCGGCTTTCTGTTTTGATCCTAAGTTTTGTTATGTAATGAGCGTGATAAATGTGGGCAGTAAAGGTGGTTGAACTAAACATAACTATTGTTGCCATGAGTTGAGGACAGCAAGTCAGATGAACTTACCATTTCACGGTAATTTTATATTGGTAATTAAAAAAAACACGATGAAAAACGTGGACTTTGGAGCCTTCTATTAAATGCTACTAATCTTAAGTTTAAAATAATTACAATCTACATACTTCATAATAAATATTTTTAGATGAAATATAAAAATTCCTATGCGTATACAGCCTACACACATTACATTACATTTAATTAATCCTAAGTTAATTTGCACTCTCTAAATATTTAATACATAAAAGTATTAACAAATATCATGCAAATATATATTTGTGACTTTTTTTCCTGTGACTTTTTTTCCTGTGACTTTTTTTCCTGTGACTTTTTTTCTGTGTTTTTTTTTCCTGTGTTTTTTTTTTCCTGTGACTTTTTTTCCTACAATCTCCACCCCACCCCATTTTGGTCGATTTGACAAGCTAGTATCCCCCACGTTGTTAGTGATATTAAAATTTGTAGAAAAGAGCCCCGGATATAATTTAATTTATTTTTAAAGCCATTTTTACGAAAAAGTAATGTACACAATAATGAAACGTTACACGAATCACATCACAGCATTGTTTGATCGGGCCGAAGCTATTCGGATTAATTTCTAAAGAAGATTAGTTTTTACGATTGGTCCTCAGCCGTAAATACTAACAAAACTTTTGTTTGACGTTTCAATGGGTTAAGACAAAGTTATGCAACATGTCTGTGTGCTTATAAATATAAAGTAGCAATAGTCGTCGAGTCAAACACGGGAACACATGTATCTATCTTTAGACATTGTTTATAGTATCATCCAATCGGATCAAGCGCCTAGCGTCACGTGACCACACACTCGGCTGTGCCACACGATGTGTAGATCACTACAGCAGAGCGATTCAGTCGGACGGCGGCCGACGCGTTAATTTTTATTTTCGTTCGGTTTTAAAATGTATGGACGGCTTTATTACGAGGTGCTATAATACATGTCATACATTAAAATAAACGGCGGGATTTCGGGAATACAGCTCAGGGTTCAAATGTAAAATATTCCAATAATAGACCGGGAAACTTAGTTCAACTTTGCGGTCCGTTATCTCCACAAGTATTTAACTTATTTTGACCACGAACCCTGAGCGTTATACGTCTACATATGTATTCGTCTGCCAAATTTAACTGTTGTAGTACGTAAACTCGATACGTGTATACAAATTTTGTAACGCGTCATCAGGTTAAAGACGGCGATTCGAAGCACAGCAGGGCGGTTCAGTCAGACAGCGGTCGGCGCGTCGTGTTTATATTTTCGGTCCACTTCAAAGTCTATAGACGTCCTTATTATAGGGCCTTATAGGACATATCATACATATTAATAAACGTCGAGATTTCAGGAATACAGCTCAGGGTTCAAATAAAAAATCGATCCATAAATAGCTCAAATAACTTAGTTTAACTTTGCGGTCTGATATCTCCGAAAGTATTTAACATATTTTAACCAAGAACCCTGAGCGTTATACGTGTACAATTAATCTATTCTTCTACCAAGTTTCACAGTTGTAGTACGAAAACTCACAGAGTCTATAGACTCCAAGTAACACCCCCCTTTTAAAAAGGTGAAAAAGCCTCCCCCCTAATCGGCACGTCGCCGCGGAGGGTAAAAAATGCGATTTAATCGGCGATTTCTTCAACGTCTGAAATAATAGAGAAATCAAACTAATACAGTTAAAAAGGTTATTCAATTACGAACAGAATGATGTATAACATGTTAATATAAACGCAATAAAAGCATGCAAAAAACAGAGTTGAATATGCAAGGGGTAGGGAAAAGCCGATTTGTCCGATTTTCTCGGCAGCGGCATTGGCCTAGCTAATCGTTCGTCAATTTATTATATATATCTCATATAATGACAATTTTACTCGCGGTCATTTTTTAGCCCTCGTCGAGGGTTTTTCGTCAAACCGACAGCTATTCCATACGGCCTAGTCATCTATAAAGGGACATGCAAAAAATTAGCATTTGCGAAATCAAAAATTATTTTTTTACAGAACCATTCCTTAGAGTGTTATAATGAACTCCTCAAAGTTTCATGCCTATTGGATGAACGGTGTCAAACAAAAATCGACTTTCATTTTTATATACCGTATATAGAGAAAAAAAAAACAAATCGCGCCCTGCCAGGGCGCCACACCTGCGAATTTGAATTTTTTTTTTCGCAGAAACCCCCCCCAGGAATATTCTCAACTACTTCTCAAAGTTTCACGGCGATGTGATAAGAGGTGTGGTAATGAATAAAAGACACACAGGCAGACAGACACACATACATTGCTTTATTTATATGTTTATATGTATATATATATATATATATATATATATATATACATATATATATATGTATATATATATATATATATATATATATATATATATATATATATATATATATATATATATATATATATATATATATATATATATATATATACACGCACGCCTTAAACTGCATTTTTTTATGTGAAAGTGGTAGTAAGTAACTCTAAGCAGCAACATAATTATCTAGCGGCGATATCTTTAAATGTAGATCGCTTAATGCTTCGTTAAAGATACAACATCAAACAGTAACTGAAAATAAATTGAATACTAAATGACAAAATGCAGAAAATGAAATAAACCAAGGTTGATTTATTTACTTGTCTTCAGGACCTTTAAAAGCTCAATATTTTAACGGTTTTAAAAATATGTGCTTTATTATATCTTTTATTTGCAGATGTTTTTAGAACGTTTTAAACTACACACTTTTGGGCTGAAATAGACCTTTATTTTTATAACCTTTATTGTTTTTTTTCACAATGTCGGTTTTCTTGTTTTAATTTTAAGCTTCGTGGTAAATATTCTACCTCAATTTTACTTCTAATGCAGCAATGTCAGAAATCTACTTTTGATTTAACAAGATAATATTTTGTAGTTAAAAATTAAATACAGATTACATTACTTAATAATGAAAGGGGAGAGCACAAAATAATGAGTTTCAAGGAATTGCTTGATCAGATTGTTTATAACAATAAGTTGTAGGTCACATACGGCTAGTTTCACTGGACGTTTAGAAAGGATAGAAAACCATATATCGCGAGCTACTTCTCTGGTTTTAACGTAATTATTTTAGTCGCATATTGTGTCGAGTAGAAAAAAAAATGTACTAAAACGGCGAAAGTAAAACATAAAAAGCTTATAGGCTTTTAAACACACAGGTAGCTTGTGAAATCTCTTACTTATTTTGGCGATCAATCTATCTATATCTATAACACACACACACACACACACATATATATATATATATATATATATATATATATATATATATATATATATATATATATATATATATATATATATATATATATATGCATTACTACGCCCAGGGCTCAAACGTGAGAACCGAAACACCTACTTTCATTTTAAACAGCGCAATAAGCTGTAGATATAATGGGTTGCTATATTCGCTCACTAAATCGAATCAACAGTATCATCCGGCGTGTCTGAAGGGTAAGCCCCTTGTTATCCCGTGAGCGCTATAGCGCCTACGTTAGTTTCAAACAGTGCGAATACTATGGATACAAATTACTGTCGTTAACTAAACATAATCAGGCGCGTCTGTCGGCACACCTTTCGTTATCCCGTGAGCACTACGCGCCTACTCTAGTTTTAAGGAACACCCAACAATATTGACAAAGCGGCACACGAAATCCGTAGATTAAACTGAGCTATGGACCGTACCCAGCGCTCAAGTGTTAGTGTAATTTTTGGGCTCCCGGGAGCATCCCTTTACGTACCCGAAACTTAGACGGTGAGTGATCAAGGTACACTCAAGACATTCACACAGCCCACCCCATTTAACTACTTGTGGAATTTTGTCAATGAAATGTTTATGTAACTCAATTATTGATGACGCTTTAAGTTTGAATATTTTACTGTGATTGGCTAAGAAGACAAAAAAAAACTATACCATACCACGTAAGTAACACGGACTCTCCAAATGTCCTACACACCCAACTCCCAATTCATTTTATGAGGATTTCATGAACTTGATACCAATCGTGTACTTTCAAGTATGCGGCATGTTTTCTAGAATTGATTTATTAAATTGTAAACATTGTCGGCAGTATATTTCTTGTATGTTAGTTGTGGGGGCGCTGGTTTGTCTACTCTACTGCCCAGACGTCACAGGGCGTGCTGTATAAAAGCCTCGAGTTTAGGTCAGCCAATATCCGTATTGTTGAGAAAGAACACATCTCAGAGAACTCTAAGAGTCATGGGATTCGCGTGCGCTCTTGAAGCTACCAGTAACACTACCGCAGAGGAGCCATGCGCTAGCATTGGTTCGGTCTAATCATCGAATATAGTTGCCCATCATATTCACAGTGTGGGAAGTTTTTGAAAACTAATGTAAGTGTCATAGAATGTAAACGCCCGGTGTTCCCATATAACAATATAAGCACAATGAGACCTACATTAAAAGAAAAACAGACGTCTTAGAAGTCGCTATTACGTCTGTTATTCTTTTTAGTTCGTATGATTTCCCCAATAGCAAAATTGACAAACACTTTTGCGGTTACGATGCAAAAACATTCTACCAATACTATGATATAAATACTATTAATTAAGTGCTTTGCCAGCGCGTAACGAAAATCTTATAGAATTATATTGGGTTTTAAATTTTGTCGGTAGTATATCGACCTACATATCGATGTAAAGATTTTTGATAGTTAACATCAAGACTCTAATTTTATAATCTTACCACCGGTATGTTTTTATCATACAATGTCGGTGTTGCAGCGACTCCACTGAAATTAAGTCCTCCTGAATTTGCCCCTGAGTGAATATGAAAACTTGTTATTATCAGGTTTGAGTGCCTTCCTCTAAATGTGTCATTTAACTTTAGAACTGGAGCTCCACTACTTCCGGGACACGTAGCTGTGTTGTATTTCAGTTCACTTAATGTAAACATAGATTCATCTTTTGTGTGTTGATGGGTAGGTTTACCAAAACTGATGTGCTTTGGCATTCCATGTGGATGTGAAATGATAATTATTGCATCATTATCACCGGGTAAACTCTTATACAGCTGTTCTAGTGTATTGACTTCCTGATCTAGCTGAGTAAACAAGCTCTGGTTGCATGTGACACACTCAAGGATACACGAATCCCCTTCAATTCTACGTTCATACAGTCGAACTCCACTGATTTTTTTAATATCCTTTCTCTCACTTTTGTCATGATAAAACAGCTCAGCTGTTGTACACTTAGCCTCTGCATGATCAAACACCACATGCGTGGCTGAGGCTATGTAAACACTCCATGTCTCATAGTTTTTTTCAGACATTCTTTTATGTCTCAGACAGTTACACTTGTTATTTGATGGCTCTGTGCCCACAACGATACCACTGCCTGTAAACGTATGATTTTCGCCACGTTTATCAGCCAACTTTGTATAGAAATCTGGTCGGTCCTGGCTGACAAAATTTACCACAAGCCTCACAGTTAACGCTATACAGGTCAAAATGTACTTTTCTAGGTTGGCATCGTAAATAATGTTTGCATCATTTAAAAACCTTGCCGGGTTAGTGATGAAATCTTTGCATTGGACAAAATCTTTATGCCGAAGTTTTTTATTGCACTGATCCCATTGCTCTTCAATACTGACTTCGTCATCCTCAGTTAGTTCTTGAATTTCTGGGTCAACTAAAAATAAAGCGAGGGAAAATATTAAAATACAAATTTTATAAGAATCAACAGCAAGAATGTCCGATACCAAATAACATATTTAAACTCTCAACTTTTACCGAATCTCTAAACTTACATTTAATGTAAATGTTTGGTACCGTAAAAACGTAATCAGTGTTTATGTAAATGCATTTGATAAATCCTTGAACAGGTCAAGGTATTAAAGCCTCTAGAATGCATTTGAATGCGAAATATCAGGAAATTAAAAGAGGTGGTAACAATTATTTGAATTGCTTATTTGAGCATTTCACGAAAAGTAAATAAGATCTCAAATAGAAAGAAAACTTTTGATCAGCGTAAAAGAAAACAACAAGTACATCTCTTTGCAAAGAACTTTAATTTCATCAATCTACTTGATGAGTTAACATAATTATATGCATTAGGAGTAATCCATAAATGACGTCACCCTTTTTGGCCTATTTTTACCCCTCCCGACCCCTTAACATATTACTATGGATGGCTGCCTAAATATTACATTTAACTTCTCTATACTTGTATTTGCTTTAAACTTTAACAAATACAGTTACTATATGCCGTAAAAATATTGAAAAAAACTTTTATTGGCAGAAAGTTTTGTGGAAACTGTATCTTAATATATTTTGTGGATGTCAACACCAAACTGTCTTTCCAAAATTAACTCACATTATTGTAGTAAAGTTGCGTGTGTATGTGTGATATTCAACTTTTGTGTAGGCATTATACTTAAAGAAAAATGTGTCAACGGATCCCTTATTTAAAATGGTATATACATCAAAGAAAATCTTCTGGTAAATTAGTTGTGAAAGTTAATTTAGACACTATTGCAGTGGTCACATTTTATTTACGCTTGCAGAAAACAACTAAATAGTGTAAATTTAAACAGGAATATGTTAACATTTTTCAAAATCTACTTACCTTCACATGGTAAGTTACTGTTTGTACTCATGATATCGTTTGAGGAATTTTTTTACAAAATCTGTAAGAATGAAATAAGATTATTTGTGACTGCCACATACATAAGTAGGCCAAAATAAACCAAAACTAAGCCATAGCCATAATAATTTTATTTTACCTTAACCCCTGCCCTCAAAATAAAATAATCAGAAACTTCACAATTCTGACATATACATTGAATCTGCTGCTAACTTTGTAGATGTGTTTTGTGAATTATATTTTGTTTTAAATTCCAACTGATCTCAAAATTAATTATGTAAGTATAAGGTACCTATTAAGGGTAAATTATAGATACCGGCCATACTAACTGTATATACCACAATAAAACTTAAAGCTGTGCAATCCGAGTTGAAATCACGTTATGTTAACAAATTAAAAACATACCATTTACCCCATATTATTACACAACAGTTCATAACCCCCCCCCATAGACCCCTCGGTATATATAAAAAGTATGAGGGGGGTGCAAATCGAAAGATTGAGAGGGGGGGGGGCGCAAATCAAAAGTTAGAGGGGGGGGGGGGGTGGCAAATCGAAAGTTTGTCCCCGGGTAAAAATTGGAACCCCTCCCCCCCCCCTTGAGACGATCCTGGCTACGCCACTGTATATAACACAATAACGGGAATGGTATCACCAGTGTAATCTGGATATTGACGTGTTTTTTATCAATTTTAAAATAGGCCTACTTATATTTTTCGTAAATAGAAAAAAAAAATGTTACCTTAAAATATAGAATTATAGAGGTTTCAGGCACAAATTAACAGCAAACTGTGGATTTACTATGACATATGATGTATAATAATATTTATTTTTTAAGAAAAAAAAAACATTAAGGAAGTGTCTATATCCAGTCGGCAGGGTATAAATCTAGTGAATAAATATCAGTCAAACCTGAAATTGATTAAGGCCAGAGTGAAAGGGATTGCCCGAAAAGTTCGGAATTTCCCGAAATAATTGTGTAGCATGGGGAAAAAAATTAGGTCTATATTTATCCAGTATGGTAGTGCATTTTGAAACTAACAAGCTGACACAGCGCTTTTTTTGTTGCGTTCTAAGGTTGGAGAAGAAATTATTAAGATTAAATATACGTAGGCCTATGCAACTACGAAAATAAAGCATCCGCCAAACGTCAAGTTTAGTAACGTAATAAGACCAGTATCAAACATAATTTCTATATAAAATGTTAAAATAACATCGAAAGATATAAGTTTGGGTCATAATCTAGTCAAAGATAATATATTGATAATTGAGTTATTTTAATGAAGCGAGTTTGGTCGCATTAACCCCCAAACGTTAAATAGTGTGAAGTATGAACATTTTTCTTCTCTTATACGAAGTATAGAGAAAGTATTGTAATCGTGCAAACAAACAAAAAAATCGAGATTTTTGCAAATCTCGACGTTTCACACCTCCCTGAGTCGGAAAACATAATTTTGCAATCTTGTCCGTATGTGTATGTGTGTGTCTGTAAACACGAAAACGAGTATCGTTACAGAGAGATTGATGAAATTTTATATATAAGTATTATAATTATCAAATTCGTAGTTCTTCATAAACTTTTCAGCGATTTCCGTTAACCTGAAGTGGAACTTTCACATGCAAGTTAAAGATTTAATTCTCTAACTTCTGTAAAATTTTAGTAATTTCCGTTGACCGGAAGTAGTATTTTACGCTATTTCCGATTTCTCAAAAACGCATGTGAATTTATAAAGTACTAATAATATTCCGCACTATTATACACAGATTTTTTGGTGTTCACTTGGTGCACAATTTTTTTTGTACGAGATTCTATTTTTTAAATTATTACGTAATTAAAAACGGATTTAAAATATTGTCTATATCCCGAGGTGCTATCATCCGTAGTGTTATATAAGAATATTCGAGAGAGTTTAAGAATATTAACCCTATCCCTACAACCCTATTTCACTGTATTCGACTACAAGGCGGGTCATTTTGACCCGTAAACTTTTTATATAAGAATATATTATTGCATATGTATATTTTTTATGGTATAACTATTATTTTAATTATAAATGGACACTAAAATTATAGTATATACATTTCTACACTAAATTTTAGTTTTAGGAAATTTATTATTATACTTTTTAGGCATAAATAAAACTAGACGTTACAAAATTATAAAGACTTATACCTTTACTATAAATTTATTTTTCATATGCAAGAAAACTTAATCACAATTAGTATCAGTTTGCACAGTAAAGCTATATAGACTAGAGATAGAATTTATATATTTGACAAATAGTTATTTTACCATCTAACTTGTTATCGTATCTCGAAAAAAATAACTTGTTTGGATGACGCTATTGGGCCCAACACTCAGTGGGTGGTTTCAGAAGGCTTCATTTTGTCTACTATTTGATCTAATGTGAATTGCAGTAGCTTGGACATAGTTCTCTGTGCTCAATGCTCAACTTGGGGCAGAACCAACTCTTTTGTAAATCTGCTGCTGTCTATTTGTAATAGCTGTCGCTTTATATTTCAACTTATTGGGGACATTAGTTGCAAATTGAAAAATATGGTCATTAGCTACCACTTAGTTTACCCATTGGGGCATATTGCTAGAGCAAGGTCATCATTTTGGCATCAATATGCATGCTTGACACAGATTAGTAGCCAAAAACTTAGTTCAATGTAACGTACAAAGTTATCAGAGATTGATACATTAGTTATTCTCTTGGCTATTTCAATATCCATTGATTTATCAAAATATGATTCCATGTACTTCAAAGCTGTAGTCAAGGAGTTGGTCCTATTTTACCCAACTATGGTTGGACTGTCTGAGGTGACATGGTCTAACACCCACGGGCCATAAAACTGACCTCATCAGATGGCTTTTATCGCAAAATACTGCATAGATACACATCAATATTGACTTCCTGCTGTATCTTTATTATATCAAAGCCTATTGCACAACTTCCTAAATACTAATTGACAGTATGGCCCTAATTTCCAAATTCTGCAGCAAAAATAAGTTCAGGTCTGATTCATCGCTTTCAAATTGATACAGTAGCCAATGAACCCATGCAGTCATCAGTTGGTACGTCTTTGTATCTACTTACAACTTCTCAATGTGTAGGTCCAAACCTAGCAATGCACTCCAGTTTTATTTGTAACAAGAAGGTTGAGTCTAAAAACATGCTATCAACATTGTTGAACAAAGGATTGTGCGATTGTTGTGCTTCGACGCTGAAAAAAATGTTTCTAATTGGTGTCTTCAGTAAGCAAGGAAGGGATACTAACTTAGGAGCCCAAAAGGTCTAGCCCCAAGGGAAGTTGTTTGAAAGTTCTATAGATTTATACCACTTTCCCCAACACTAGTAGAATTTTTCTCTATATAAATGTGTATGGGTCAATTTGACCCATGTTTGTAGGGAGAGGAATAGTGAACCTAAACCTGCTCACCCTCATGCACACGTGCAAAATTAAACATTCATTTTTATGTTGAAATCAAGCATTGTATGTGTAGGTAGCATATCTAGAAGCTCAAAACAATTGGTCCAGTGGTTGACCAGTAATTAACTAAAATGTAGCACTGTCGGGTCAATTTGACCCGCCTTGTAGGGATAGGGTTAAGTACGTTAATCACTTGATTTCACTGAAGTATTTTTAAGAATTTTTGCCTCATGCTTTCTGTCAATTGCCCAAGCATGGGACAAGACGTCGCATCCTTGACCAGAAAATATTTTTAATTCATATGCTATCGCAAAGAAATTAAACTAACTCTTTTTTATTGTATACTTTTTTAACTTACCTGGAGTTTATCTTTAGAAAAACGGGTTTACTAGAGATTAGATCTAAATAGTAGTATAGTATTAGTAAGATATTGGTTACGCTCTGACCATGTTCTTTAAATGTCTAAATGAGACAGCTATATCGTATTGTATTAATTGAACAACCAAATTAACATTAATTTCAAACTGAATGAATAAAAATTTTCCTTTATTTATTCTTTAACCTAGATCTAGATGAAATTGTTCCTTAGAAGTTAAGATCACTGCTAACGTGTGGTTCTAAGCACAGTGAAGCAAGTAATGCCGCAGTAAAAGTAGGCCTGCACTAATTGTGTAGTCTCAGAAAAAAATAGGTGATTCCCAATTTTATTTAGTTATGGAAATACCGATTTTTGGGAATCCCATTTCTAAAATTAGATTTTTACTCAACTTGACAACGCAGATACGGTTTAGAAGAAAAGTATCTGCTCATTTTCTTTAAGGGTGGTTAGCGGCCCCGCAGCTACTCCACCCCATTGACGATTTAGTTAGGGGCCCCGAATATTATAAAAAAATATCATTATCATACATAAAAAAGTATTATTTAAGTTTTTCAACTAACATTACACATTTATTTAAAGAATATATTTAAATGAAAACATCAAGCACACATAAGAAGATTACAACAAAAACGTTTCTAACGCATTGTAACAAGAGTTTACAATATTTTGTAATTGAAATATCAAACGGGGCCCCCAAATATCGAGTTTTTTTTTTAGTGCAAACGAAGAAAGCATCTCTCAGCAATAGTGCATAGAGTTGTCGTCGTGTTGATGTAGAGAAATTTTTCTTTTAAAATACTACAACTTTTTTTCTTTCAACAGTGTTGTGAGTTGGCGGCATAAAAGAAAACAAACTATATATGTTTCAAAGTGGAAGGTCATCTTTGTTTATTCTGATAGGAATTTGGGGGGGGGGGGGGGGATACAAAAAAGGTTGAGAATGTTATAAGTGATGGGCACCTGAGTTTGAAAGAAAATAGACAGATCGACATTTTGCAAGTATATCCAAGACTTTATATGACTGAAAATGCTGGGAGTCGTCTAATACACCGTAGGAAAGGCCCACGAAGTATCCATAACTATTTTAAGAACGTTAAATTGTGGTTTCATTAATATTAATTAATTTTAAATTGTTGTGACCACGTTGGGTTAATACAACCAGACTACACAACATTATGTATTATATAGTTTTTTATAGATTTCTAGTAAGTTTACTATTGTTTTTTGTTTCAATATATGGTCAAAGGAGCACAGCATGCTGTCTACAGCTGGGAATATCACTGAAAAGCCTCACTGAAAAGGCCTATATTAAAATATTTAAAATATCACAACTTTAGTTATTTTAGTCCTAATAATTTAATATATATATATTGTATCTATTTTATAGGCCTCTTCAATATATTATTTTTAAATATTTAAAAAACTCTATTCTTTCAGATTTTAGAAATACGCTTTATAATTACTATGATTTAAAAAAAAAATTACAGAATAATTAATGTGCCAATGAGAAATTTTTTTCCCCTAACTGTCAAAGCTCCTTTTTAAAATCCAAATTTTATCATTGGTCTGTTTTTGAACACACTATATTCCTATATCATACTGTAATGATTAGACATCACCTACATTTTATAACTTTTAGAATTAATAATGCAACCATTAAACATCACCTAAATTTAAAATAATCTGTGTGTGACTCAGCAATGTAATCATCAGATGACACCAATGTTTGTGTAACCTTAACACTGTTCCACTAATGAAACCCTAAGTTTAAGCCCACAGATATCTACCCTGTCCACAGAACTTGCTTGAGTTACATCCTTCACCGCCAATGGTGCTGACATAGACCAAGTGGTAGCACCCAACACAACAGTTATCTTTAAACGTGATGGTACTAGAGCTTCTCTTCCTAGCATAGTGCTGAGGCATAATTGAAACAAGACTCACCATTTTTAACTCAACAGCCAAGAAGGGGAGTATGGACAACAGTAGAATAGCTAGACAATATCCTTGTCAAGCAAGTAATGAAGGCTTTCAAGTGCCAGCTGTCAAATACATCAATTTGTTCAGGTGCTGTAAATTGTTTTTTTCTGTCGAGAAAACATTAATTTTATTGACATCTTTATCAATTACAGCATACAGCTTGCCACAAAAAATATTTGTAATTTTAAAAAAAAATGTGTTTTTTAAAACCGTTACCATAAAGTTTAAATTAGATGCTTTTGGATTAGAGTAAATTGTGAACAAAATGTATAATGTATGTAAAATACTGGAGATTAATTTCTTTAAAATTTTCAAATGTTTACTTTTTATATTTTTGTGTGTATGTTTTAAAATTTAATTCAAATTCACATTTTAATTTTAAGTAGCTCAAAATATTATACTGAAGTCTGTTAGTCTGTTTTATAGTGTAAAATCTAAAATACATTGGTCAAAACAATAATATTTTCTCTTAGAGACAATGATATTTATTTTCATAAATAATAAATGTAACAATAAAACAAGATCTGCTAGGATAGTAACTTTCTATTGATGAGTCAGTCAAAACTGATATCTTTTTCCTTTTTAAGAGTTTAATAGTCACAATATATTAAAATATACTTCAATTGAAAACAATGCTATCAAATATAAATGTGTTAAAATTAGTTTCTGAATAAAGGCCTACTTAATTCTTCTAGGATACACTACCCTGATTAACAAAATGTCAACCATATCAAACTTGAAACAGTAATACTGCAAAACTGTTGTCAATCTGACCGACTTAATTTTGGAAGTCTTTATCTTCTTCTTCCTTTTTAATTGTAATTTTGGATGTGAATTATGTATCATGTACCATATGGCCAGTTGAGTCAGATTTTAGCCAGGTTTTCTTTTTGAATTTGCTTCCATAGCCTTTGTCACTCCAATTGCAATCTGTATGAAAGCATTGGTTTGATTTTGGAGTTTTTTCTCCTCACCCCTAATCTTATTGTCCCCCTTAACAAACTAGCCTCTAAATTATGTCTTCAATTTTTCTTTTTTTTTGGTAGAATAATTATTTGAATAATAAAATGTCTTCATTTTTAAACTTCAAAATTTTATTTCCACAAATTAATGTGATTATTTTCACCCCAGGACCTCAAGTTATCTTTGACTGCTATACCCCCACTGAGTACTATGTGCTAATGGGCACTAGGGCTGTGGTCAACATCCAACTGATTGGCTACCCAGCACCCACCAAGCTAAAGCTTGAAAAACAAAGTGATGTCAACATGACAGACTTTACTGTGGTATACAGCAACACTACTGGCCCCATTGGGAATGTCAGTGTTGTGTTCAACAAAGCTGAAGAGAAACACTTAGGCTGGTACATACTTGTTGTTGGAAATGGAGTTGGTGAAGACCTACTATTTTGACATTTACAGAAGTCAGTTATTAAGTAATGGTGAGACTAAAATAATGAAAAATGAATTGCTTAATCCTTTATTGTCTAAATGAGTCTAGAACTTTTCTTACTTTTTTTTACCAATGTGCCTAAACTCTATAATTTATTTATTTACAAGTTGTAATAAAAGTCTTGCTATAAACAGGAATTTGAATATACTACAGAAGTTTTATCACTAACAGTCAATTTTGTATGGGTTGTTTTTCAAAATTTTGACAATAATATTAGTAAAATTCAATAAAATTTCTCCACTGTTCAATACAGCTTTGTTTATAATGTATCTAATTTAGTGATACAAAAAAAGTAGTTCCGTCAACAACATTCAATCTCTCTTAATTAAATATTTTAATTTTAAAAAAAATAAGGTAATTGTAAATATACATTATTTTCTAGGGTTGACATTAATTTTATTTATTAGGTTAAAATAATAAACTAGAATGATTTTCAAGTGTTTTCCTTTTTCTTTTCTTTTGATAATAGTGTATTTGTTGAAAAATTCATTATTTAACTTGCCAGTATGAGAAGTATAATTGATTTTATTCCTGGAATAGTTAAAACACCCAGTCCTGTCCCTTTGTACTATTTTGCATTGGTTTTTTTTTTTTGTTAACTTATGATTGCTTTTATTCTACTGCTCTGATTAAGTTTTATAATATACAATAAAGGTCTATTAAACCTCTATACTAGTCTATAGATCCAAAAGTAGACCATGTATTAAATCCATAGAGAATTATCCATGTAATAAAGTGTTTCTTAAAATACTAATAGAATCATCAACCTAAAGAAATGACAATTACTTCTAGTCAATCCAGACAGTTATTTTATAATCATGTCATTTTCTGGTTATTTTATCTAACAGCTTATAAAACATAACAAAATAACAGTTCCAAGAAAACTTAGCGCAAACAGAAGTATGCACAAATACAAACTAATTATACAAATACACTTTCATTTTGTAATATTTTGTGAAAAAATGTTTTATTATACTACAATGCACATTCTTTGTTAGTGTTAATGGTCAATTTAAAAAATCACTTGATCAATTAAAAAAATAACATAATTTTGTGCGCAGTTATTCATTGCATAATTTCCTAGTATCCCAAAATAACGCAATATCAATCCCTTCAGGTCAGTACTATGCACAGACCAAACTATACCTCATATACTGAGTTTATTTAATAAGATGGACTCTACTTCATCTGCCGTATGTGTCTTGAACACAAAATGGAAGTGATGATGAGAATTCCTTCTCATGTAAGGTAAAAAAACAAAGAAATCTTAGATTTGATGTCACATAAGGTACAGCATTAAGGAGCAGTCACTATTGTGAACTATAGGGCAGACCTGTTATTAATCTTACCATTCATAGTTTAAAATTTTTTTTTCTAGCAGTATAACATTGTGAGTATAGTAGCTATACTATACTCATAATTAAAAAAAAAAGACTTGCCAAAAGCTTGTTCATAGCACCAAGTTTCCCATTGACAAGAAAAAATATTCTAATATATTAGCATTATAAATTTGATTGTTGCTTTTATCAGCTGCTTATTATTTTCGTTAGTGCAATTACAGCTCTCTGACAACACAAAAAAAAATGAATTTAAAAAAAATGCAATTCTTGTTTATATTTTACAAAGTAAGTATCAAATGCAAAAATAAAAATGTTATGGAGACTAATAAATTACAATACTAGTAAGAAACATTTTACAATTGTTCATTTTACCAAACAAAGGCAAGAAACTTTACTACTGGTATGAAAAAAAAATTGAAAAAAAAAAACAAAACGATTTAACGATTTAAGCACATTTCATGCTATGTGTAAATCTATATTGTAGGTCTACTCCATTATGAAATAAAAGCAATCGCCCTGATGAGAGTAGACCAGCCTAGAACTTAGAACCACATTGTGAATTTTATGCTGTAACTAACTGGAGCATGTTTTATGTTTGCTATATCAATTCAAGAGTCATGGTTAATAAAATTTACGTTTAAATCTTACTATCCAAAATTATGGTTTTGAGCCTGATGCTAGATGGGGATTTTTTGCGGAAACTTTGTTGATGCGATGCTCAAATGATAGGGGTTCGAGTCTGTTTAACATTACAGGTAGCATGCCAAACACTGTGCAAACAACAAAGTAGTCATCATTACCAAACGTTATATTGCCTAGAAAAAAATTTCGGAATATTATTCATTTGAGGAAAATCTGTCTACTTCAAAACAACTGGTACTTTTTCCATCACCGCTTGTTTCTCTGTGAAGGTGAGGCGGAATTAAACGTTTAGTAACGTGAGGAATGGATCCTCCTACAATTAAAACAGCACCTCCGCTAGAGCCGGGGCCTGTTGGTGTGTCATATATGAAACGAATAAAATAGTTCATCTGGCGTGGCGAAGAACGTATGTCTTTGTGCAACCACTTCCCAAATGAAACACGTTTACACGAGCCGTGAGGATGAGAAACTATTACAGCCAAATTTACATCATCAGACCTTTTAAATTTAAGATACAACTGTCTATCTAATGAGTAAAGACAACTTATTGTTTCAGACAATTTAATGCCTAATTCTACGTCATGAGTAACATACAGAACTAGTGACCTCCCTGTGTTTATATCAGATTCAACTACTCTCAAACCATGTAACAATACCTCAGGAGATGCATCATCATCAAACCCAATACGAAATGAACTTTCACAAGCTTCACTGCTATCAAAGACAACATGATTAGCTGTTTGGACATAGATACAGTATGATTTCTTATCAGTTGATTTCAAAACTTTACAATTAGCACAGGTGCATATAAAATCAGCATGATCGCTTTCAACCAAAGAGACGATTGTTCCTGATCCATACCTAAGACATTTCGTACCTTTTAATTTACAACTAGGAAATGTAGCTTGAGTTACTGGGTCAATATCTGGACGACCATGGCTTGTATAGTTTACTGCAATTCTGCCAGACAATTCTGAAACAGTTTGTATACAGCTATCTATCAATGATCTTTTTTCACTAACCACTGGCAAATTCAATTCTTTAAAAGAATTCACTGGGTGGAAATGTTCATGGGATGGATTTTTCTTACAAGATGATTTTTTGCCTTGTATGTCATCGTCATATAATATTTCAAGGCCCCCATGACCTGTTGAATAGAATAGTTTTATCAACAATAAAATACAATAAAAATACTCATGTGTATGTGATTGTGACGACTGCAGAGCAGAAATGTAAAAAAAAAAATCCTTTCAACTCTCTAAGAAGATATAAAATGTCACACAACGAGTTACCAGATTTGAGTTTTTTTCCATCCTTTTGAATTTCATCATTTGAAGAATGGATCTCAAATCCTAGATGAAAACTCTGAAAAAATGCAATTATTTAAAATAAACTAATAGATTTTCACACACTATAATTATACCCGTACTTTAAAGTACATCTGCAATGCATTTACACGGATCAGACGGAAGATAAAAATAACCAGCTCGTTTTAATCATATAATGTAATTATCTTTGAACGTAATGACATTCCGGTCCGAATAATACACACTCAGAATACAAAACGTGTCACCATCTTGCATAGATTAACAAAAAATAATTACTTTCTGGTTAATACAGAGACCAAAAACTAAAATATGAATTATTACCTCATGCAAGTATTCTGCTACAGTCATCGGTATACGCGCCCATCCGCTATTACCATTTCCTTCGCTTTGAGAAAAAGTATGCAACAGAAATTCTGCTATGATGTGTGTTGAGTGCCTTTTTGTGAAGGAGTCATTCAGCTTTATCACTGGAGCCCCTGCACAGCCATCGCAAAGTGGTGCATCGTATTCCAATTGATTTAAAATGAAAATTGAATCTTTTTTAAAATTAAGTTCGTTCTCTGAACAGGAACCGAAACTGATGTGTTTTTCCATTCCGTGGGGATGTGAGATCACAACAACTTTGTTTTCTGCGTACTCCAATATTTTGTACGTGTCTTTTTGAACTTGAAGTGAATCTCTCAATTCTTTGCAGATTGTTTCATCACAAGTGTAACCCATTACAATGCACGTTTCATCTGAATTATATTGGTATATTTTTTCTACATTAATTGTCTTTACACTTCCTATTAAACCATCAAATGTGATATCCACTTTGGTAACATTTTCAGCTTCCAAGTTGTCAAACACCACAAACCTAGATGTGGCTATGAATAAACACCACGTAGGGTGAGGCTTTTGGACTTGGTCTGAGCATTTACATTCTCTCTCTGATTTCTTTACCTTCACAACTATACCATTTCCATACAGTTGTTTATTATGAGCATTACTTTTAAAGAATGTTTCGTAACTACCGAATCTCTTTGAACTTGGGAAATTAACAGTTATTTTCACAGTAAGCTTGATGCAGGATACAATGTATTTGTGAACGGAATCTATTGTACTGTCTACGACACGTAGTATAGTTCTGAGGTGCTCAGCATTATTTAGCATATATTCTGTTACTGGTATCATGCCATTGAGAACTGATTTTCTATGACATATCTCCAATTTTTCTGATTTCTGTGCAGCTGAAACATTTAGAAATGGTTTTCAATGAAGTAGGCTAAACTTGTTAACTATAGCTTTAAAATAAATTTAGATCTAGATGATATAGACAATTTGAATTTTTGAACATTGGCAGTTATTTCTGATACTGATTTAATGTTCTAATAAATTTTTAAAAATTACGCTATAACAATTTTAAAACGTGGGCAATGTGAGCGGATATAATGCAATACGTGTAGGTTAAATAAAACAAAAGTGAAAACAAATATGAATTTTTTTAGGGCCATCAATCCCGAGCGGTTCAACAACTAAAGAAAATATCGTATCTTGTCACTCCGTTCATTTTTTTTTGTCTTTTTGTCCAGTACGAATACTTTCTGACAAGCACCGTTTATAAAAATAACTTTAGTTCATTTAATAATAAAATGTCCATATTCGTCTTTAAAGTTAAATATCACAAATACGAATTGTGTTCAGTTTTTGATAAGGAATACAGTTAAGTTCATACAACCTGATAGAGTGCGTGGAAAATGGGTTTGTTCTTGTCTGCTGGAAAAGAAAACAATTTATTTTTATTTTATTTCTTACAACTAAAATTACTTGGGTAACACAAAATAAGAGATTTCACAAATTTAATAATATTAAAAAGTTATTAGAAATGTTGTGTCAAAGAGAGATGATAATCATTAGTTAAGTATTCACATTAGTACAGAAGATAAAATCCAAAATAGAGAAGTAGCGACCGTTGTTTTGTTTAAATACACTACACAGCCTCTCTCTAAGATACCCAAAACAGGTGTAGCATTTGTTTTCATATGTTTTATAAGCTGTTAATTGTTCACTTTAGTTAAAAAAAATTAAAGTTTATTGCATAATCGCCACTGTGTTTATAGAATAACATACAATGCTCTGAGTAAGAAGATAAAAATACTAATTACCTTTGTTCAAGTAAGGGAATTGTATTATAATTATTTCTGTAAACGAAGAAAAGATGACATAATACTAGAATAAAATACAATAAATAATTTTGACAGTTTATACATTTCACAACAAAGACGAACAATGCTAAATTGTGAACTCAATATTAATATGTAAAATGGATCTTACCGTGTGTCATATGTACTTCTGCGTATTTTTCCAAATATTGCTTGGCATATACAGCGCCTCTTTAATATGTATATAATGATCAAACCTAAAACCACTAAATATATATATATATATATATATATATATATATATATATATATATATATATATATATATATATATATATATATATATATATATATATATAAATTACAACCATAGCGTGTTTGGACATAATATATTGTCTATATATATATATATATATATATATATATTATGTAAATAATACTTTAGCTAAATCCTACTTTGTGTAAAAAAAAACAACGTACATATTACTGTTGGTATTCCTATATACAAAAAAAGATTCAAATGATTTGTATCTGTAAAAGCAAATTGCAGAAACAATATATTACAAGGAAATGAGTTTAAAACAACTATTTATGTGTAATTTGTTAATTAATCAGAAATATAAACATATGAACGCAGCCTTATAGTCATAAATCAAAGTTTTGATATACACTCTACTATATTTTCATTCGATTGAATACTTCTATTTTAATATTAAACGATTTTTCTTAACTATATGTGTTACGGTCCTCCTTTATATGTAATGTATACGTTTTTGAACCATCACTCACTTGATCATACTACTGAACTATATTTGGAGTTATAAATGTAGGAATGATCGAGACATACCATTTTGAGAATCAGTGTGTGAATTTTGACACTCAGTTCTACAAGATTTATTGTTGTTTATATGTTCATCAGTTCTGATATGACACCATTCTTTCAATTTTTCTGGCTGTGAATCGTTACAGTAATGGACTACTCCTTGTAAACAAAACTGCTCGTTATTGTAACATTGATTAGAGCAGTTGTTAGGATTTTCCGAAGAACATACGCTTTTGCTGCTCTCTGGAAAAATCATTTTAAGTACCTTTCAATATTTTGAACAAATACAAGAATATAAATGAAGTTTAACTGTCTACGAAGCAGCTTGTGTTATTATTTGAGATAATGTCAAGGCTTAGTTTTAAGGTTTATTTAACATCATACATTTTGATTTTGGATACGACATTTAGTTTTCGTTTTTTTTAGGTTTTTACTTTCTCGTATATACGTAGTATAGAGAAAGTATTGTAATCGTGCAAAAAAAAAAAATCGAGATTTTTACAAATCTCGACGTTTTACACCTCACTGATACGGAAAAACATAATTTTGCAATCTTGTCCGGATGTCTGTGTGTGTGTCTGTGTGTCTGTGTGTCCGTGTGTAAACACGATAACTTGAGTACCGTTACAGCTAGGCTGGTGAAATTTCATATATAAGTATTTTATCAAAATCGTAGATCCGTATCAACTTTTGAGCGAATTCCGATAACTGGAAGTGGTACTTTTTCTACTTTGAATTTTTCAAAAGCCTATAACTTAAGTACTATTTCAGATAGATAAATGAAATTTGATATGTAAGTAAAAGAGCTAATTCTCTACCTTCTGTCAAATTTTGAGTAATTTTCGTTGACCGGAAGTACTTATTTACGCTATTTCCGATTTCTCAAAAAACGCATGTAAATTTATAAAGTACTAATAATATTGCGCACTTTTATGCGCTTTTTTATTTAGCGTTCACTTGGTGTGCATTTCTTTTTTCTACGAGATTATATTCTATTTTAAGAAATGTGAGTATTTAAAATGGATTAAAAATCATGTCTAGAAGTCTATATCCCGAGTTGCCATCCCCTGTAGTGTTATATTAGAATATTCGAGAAAGTTTAGGGGAGATCACTCCCGGTTTATTTCATTAAGTTTGAATAACAATAAAAAAGATCTTAGTGAGACAAAATCAGGCTTATTTGTATATCCCGCATAGTACATAGTATTATCGTTTAGATATTTAATGTAGTATTTTAATATATTTTGACTGATATGTTACAATTCGATTTGAGAGTAACTATTAAAACGAAAAACAAAAATACAGGTCATTTGAGAAATTGGTTGTTGAAAAATAATAATTTAAATTTAAAAAAATCTGTTTTTATACTAACATTAATGTCACAAATTTGAGGAGTACAGAGCACTTGAAATCTTGCTTACTTACAATAAGAAAACTGAACAGTTAGTAAAATTTGTTAAATATTAGTTGGAACGAAAAAATAACTATCTAATAATTTCATTTCAAACGATAATAATATATTACCTAAAGTAATTGTGTAATAAGCTGTCTTCCATGTGTTGCAAGCCATACAGTTTATAGTATAATTTAGACTGTACTGGTACATTACAACATTAACATCTAGTATCCCAGGTAATAAACCTTGCGTTGGGATAGTTATGTAACACTGAGTTGCGTACAACTTTGGATGTTGCGAAATTACTGAATGGTTGTACACGGGGGTTTTCTCACTCAGCATATGTTTCTAAAAAAATATATAGTTATGTAAACATAATGTATACAACATATATAAATATACACTCAAGTTTTCTATTTTGCACACTCTGGGGTTTCTGAGTGGTAGTGTGAACAAAGCAGCACCTCAACAACAAGAAACATCGTGCAAATTTTATTTACATTTAAAAATGCTCATGTTCCAAACACAATTATTTAAGTATCCTATACAATTAAATTCACCTCCTCTAAGAAAGCTATTCTTTCTAATATATATATATATATAAATAAATAAATATATATATATATATATATATATATATATATATATATATATATATATATATATATATATATATATATATATATATATAAATATATATATATATATATATATTCAACGATTAATCACTCACGTTGCTTGACTGCAATTTAAACATGCAAGAACCTTTTGGGTGTATTTTATGGCCTGTACAACTTATTTGTATGCTATCATTAGTTTCTAGATGATAACATTCCAAATTTTGAATTCTTCCTGTAATAATAAGATATGTTTTCATTAAAACAAGATTTAATGCTAAATTTATTACCAATTTGCATTTCATATGTCCTTTTCTTATCTAAATCAAAGGTGATATCTGTTGTGTCTAAATGTATGTGTAAGCTATGTGTGCATATATATATATATATATATATATATATATATATATATATATATATATATATATATATATATATATATATATATATATATATATGTGTGTGTGTGTTCATATGTAAATATAAGTAAATTTGAATCTGTAAAAACAAGTGAATATACTTATAAGCCTAAGTAAAATTTCACTTTATATATAGGGGAAAGTGGGCAATTCGTACCCAGTAGGTAACAACAAATTAAAAAAAGAACTTCATGTTTAATTAAACTGTTTAAACTTTTTATTTTCACATTTTCCTTATAATAAACTGCAAAATTGGATTTAAGAAGCAATTATTTTAATTATTATTAAAAACACTTTTTATTAACAAGCTTATAAATTCTCCTTTTTAATGCATAATATATATATATATATATATATATATATATATATATATATATATATATATATATATATATTATGCATTAAAAAGGAGAACATAAAATATTGACTTTAAATATATAATCTTGCAGCACTATTTAAATAACTATAAAGAAAAGTGTGGATCGAAGTTTCAGTTAGGCAGACTAAGTTTTGTATATTGTATAAGTATAAAATCTCATACTTGGTATTTTACTCTTTTTTCGGTTCCTAAAATAACTATAACGTAAGTACCGTTTTATTTAGGTGAACGGAATTTTATACATATGTATAGAATCTTATTATCTTGATTGTTTAAAATTTTTAATGATTACCGAATACGGATGTGGGACTAAAATGTAACTTTTACTAGACCGATTTTTATCAAATTTTTACGTAGGTAAAGACTCGATGACATTGAACTGTGAGATAAAGTGTTACTTATTTATATGTTTAATTAAGTGTATAGAAAACAAATAAATGTTTTCTTAATAAATTACTTATATTCTGCTCAATTATGCACACATTGTATACGTTCATTTTTGTGTGCAATTCTTTTCTTGATTTGAATCTGTTACATTATTTTACAAAAAAGTTTAGTATTTAAAAAAATAATTTAAAAACAATAGCATAACAATCGTATTAATAATAAGATTTTATGTAATTATGCACTAAAAAGGAGAAACTAAATGATTTCCTTTAAATATATAATAACACATTACTATTTAAATAACTAAAAAAGCGTGGGTCACTATAATATATATTGAAAACCTTTACTAAAATATAAGAAGTGACCCACTCTTATATTTCTGTTGTATGTAAAACATTAACATTGCGATTAAATATAACAATTGTTAGTAATCACTCATCGCTCTTTGGGGGGGGGGGGGGGGTAATGCTGATCATATTGTTAATGATCTGGGAAGAAACTGATTTTTGTTTCTACCAGGCTTTGTTTTTCTTGCCTATTGTCAGAGGAAGACCTCCAACCTCAAAAGCTGTACCAAGCTCACGTCTTTAGTTTTATTACCCAGCGTTCACTAGCTAGACCATGATCCACTCTATTTAAGACAGACATTAATTATAAGCACGTTTTCTGTATTTTTTTCAATGGTTAAATTTCTTGTCTATGGAATAGCTGGAAAATCACAAGATCAAGATAAAGAGTTTGTAGCGTCAGATCAATGAATGTTGTGATTTAACACAGGCCCATATTGAAACCGCATAAGAAGCCCTAAAATGTTTTTTTTATTTTATTAGTGAATTACATTTAACTTATAATACAATGAAAGTAGTGTGATAGCAACTATCTGATACCAAAATTTGTTGATTAAACAGGTGATGCTGTAGGCAAATCATCTAAAACCTTTCTTATTCATCTTAATTTACTTTCGAGTAATGAATAACCTATTGTAATTATATTTGAAATCTTAGAAAAATGTCATTCAAATGTATACAATCATTATAATATAGGCATATTAAAAAATAATGAGATAGTAACAGAATCACAAGTTTACCAAAAATAATGCTAATACAAAACCTTTAAAAAGTGAATGCTAGCAACAAAAAAATGTATGCTTGAAACATTTATTTTACTAAACGCAATTTAAGGTTACTGATTTTAAAAATAAAAGTAGGCTATTTGACATATTTTCCGAATTTGTACTGAATCTAAAAGAATGCTGAGTCTTTAGTTCCAACAAATATAATCCGAAATTTTTTTTTTAACCGAGTTTTGTTGAAACATCTAAATTTTGAAAAAAAGGAACCTTTTAACATACGTAATTATGCCAAATCATTTTTAACTCACTCCTCTTCTAGCAAAATCCTGATTACACTAATGCAAGATAGCCAGACATTATCTTGGTCGCTACTGTGTTGGTATGAAGTAACTTAAATATACATTTTAAAAGTATTTTAAATTATTTTTGTCAA